TAAGGTACAGTCAGTAGGATGTAGTGTGTTGGGTACTGTCTGTAGGATTGTGTATGTAAGGTACAGTCAGTAGGATGTAGTGTGTTGGGTACTGTGTTTAGTTCAGGATATTTGTAGATGTGATGGTGTGGGGGGAATATTTTAGTCTAGTGATCGACGTGTTTAGTTCAGGATGTTTGTAGATGTGATGGTGTGGGGGGAATATTTTAGTCTAGTGATCGACGTGTTTAGTTCAGGATGTTTGTAGATGTGAAGGAGTTAAAGAAACTCTTAGTCTATCGATTGCCATGTTGATGAATGAAGATTAAGTCCGGAATCAATACATTCTTTCTTCACCAATCGTCCTCCCGCAGTCTGTGTCGGTTTATGATTGACAGAGAAGTACAGTTTGTGAGTCGACGAATTTATCGTCTGGCTTTTAATATTGAAACCATGATTTAAGTGGATGACATTTTCTAGAATGTTTCTGTGTGTGTGGTAAGCAGTCTCACTTATCAATTGATATCGCTTCACCAGGAGATTTAATGCGTAACGTGAAAAGAAATCAATTGCCAGATATGACGGACATTCTAAACACATAGAAAAAACCCACTCTTTCCTCCCTCCAAGGCAGACCGCTGGCTAGTCCTTGTATCACACCGTAACATTATTCAAATTAGTAAACTTTAGTATGTACCTTTAGAGATTTTGAAAAACGTCGGAATGCCGTGATATATTACAATGTACACTGTACTGTGTGGTTTTAAAGGGGTCCTGATAGGACGTTTCACCTAAAACAAATGTCGGGAATAAAATTCCGGCTACACGATACATTTTTGTGATAACACTCTGTGATTTGGCGATTAATGTGAATATTTAAACACCAAATTGAGTGTCATCATATCCAAGTACAGGTCCCAGGTAATTCAGGAATGATTTGAAAGTCATCAGACGACAGATTAATATAGCGCCTAAGTGAAAAGCTGTTCATCGATAGAACATTTTTTAGGCAGGGAGTTAAAACATCAATACAATATATAGCCCCTTGGGCCAGCAAGAGACTCTCTTATATTTTGTAAATTGTGAAAGGAAATTTTGATTTTCATATCCATTTAACTAATTGTTTTAACTTATTTGAAGAAATATGAAATATGAGAAACATATCCGCAACACAACCAAACAAATCTCATTTTTTTTATCAATCATCATATTTCCGCTTTTTCGCCAAAATATTGCCTCGTAGTTGGTTATTTTAAACATAAATACATCTCGATAGGTTGGTTTTATTCGTTGCATTGAATTTTACGTGAAACAGCACCATGTATGCAAATGACTCTACACCCAAATAGCCAACTTAATGAAACCTACACGAGAAATACATTAAAGGGGGGAATGTGGTCGTGCCTTTGTCTTAAAAGGAGACTTTTAAACGTCACTATATCCAAATTTGACAATATTTTAAAATGAAATACGCTAATAGGATTTTACCAGATATTTCCGGTCTACACTTGTCAGAAACTACAGTTTCTAGTTTGCTGGTGATCGCGACATGAATAACTGTAGATTTATTTATCACCTTTCCGTTTTCTACTAAAGATTTTTATCTCTGAAAACCATTAATGATAAAATTAATTGCTTATGTTTCAATTAATGATACGAGACCAGCCAGTAACAAATATTTTTTATAAAGGAAATTAGACTATTTGTGATATTCAATCTTTCAGGATACCGACTTAGTTAATGATACAATCTTTAGCCATCTTTAAAATATAGGGTCATCCACAGTTTTTGTTGTTGTTTTTGTTTTCTTGTTTTTGTTTGTTTTGTTTTTGTGTTGTTTCGAGAATCACGCGACCAAATGGGCCACTTTTTGGTAAGAGGACAAGTCAAATACAGATATCGTTGAACAAAGTGCTCTATGACAGGTCAGATGTAAAATTGGCGACGGATTTTCAGGTATTTGGCATTACGAAAATGTACAGTTTAAACATATTTCTGTATCATTGATCGTATTTATACAGGTGTAAAATGTCGGGTTTTTTTCAATTATTGGTAATTGGTTTCACATGTAAACTTCCGCTTGTTGAACTTGAAACATTGGCGGTCCGAAATGTGTTTTAACGAACTAAAATTACATCTGTATGTCATTTGTTGTTTTTTCCAAGTAGATTTCTGTGAAGATTATAGAAAACATACACAGTTGAAAAACACCTTTTAATACAAATTTAGAGTTTTATGTAGATACCATAGAGCCAAACAATGAATGAAACTTCATCATACAGCTGTTTCGTCCTTCTAGGAGTCATCAGTGATACAAAGGACTATATTTCTATGTATAGGAGGCGAGTAAGGCAGATCCAAAGTGATCGAAATACGTAAGACTATTGACCTTTTTGCTGTAAATGCTGAGTTTCTTCCTTAAAAAAAGATTGAATCTCTCTCTCTCTCTCTCTCTCACTTGAACTTGATGTAGTAGACTTTGTACATGATAGATATTGTTAATGATTTTCTGTAACCATGATAAATTAAACAAACATTTTTCTACTATATGATAGCGGGTATCATTGAAGAAAGAAAAGGAATGCGTCTCAGGAAGAAGTGATTATTTATTGTCAAATTATGAAAACATTCAAACCAGGAATATATATCAACAATGAATTGATAATAAGTGTATTTGTTTTGTTTACGGGAAACAGTAGTCATATAAGAAATGATATTTTGATATAAAAATGATCATGTGGCAAAATATATAATATCCAGCTTCTGAAGTTACTATACACTCAAATTATCTCACTGCACGTATTTCCAAATGTTGGCAAAAACACGACAGAAAACATATGATTTTGTTAAAAAACAACAGTTCTATATACTTTTAAAAAAATGAAGACGTGTGGCGAATACGCTGTATCATAAGTGGTTAAAATTTGAGGTAAATTAGGGGAAGAAAAGTCTGTATATGCCGCATATCCACCAGGATACGAAACTACAGTTGCTAGAGTGCTAATAGAGTTAAAATCAGGTAATCACACCCTGATGACGAGTGAACAGAAGCTTCCAAACCCTAATGAATGGTTATAGCGGTGAATTGAGGCCTCTAAACCCTGATGAATGATGATAGGGGTGAACTGAGGCCTCAAAACCATGATGAATGGTGATAGGGGTGAACTGAGGCCTGTAAACCCTGATGAATGATGATAGGGGTGAACTGAGGCCTCAAAACCATGATGAATGGTGATAGGGGTGAACTGAGGCCTGTAAACCATGATGAATGGTGATAGGGGTGAATTTAGGCCTCTAAACCCTGATGAATGATGATAGGTGTAAATTGAGGCCTGTTAACCCTGATGAATGATGATAGGGGTGAACTGAGGCCTCAAAACCTGATGAATGATGATAGGGATGAACTGAGGCCTCAAAACCCTGATGAATGGTAATAGGGGTGAACTGAGGCCTGTAAACCATGATGAATGATGATAGGGGTGAACTGAGACCTCTAACCCCTGACGAATGGTGATAGGGGTGAATTGAGGCCTCAAAACCATGATGAATGGTGATAGTGGTGAACTGAGGCCTCAAAACCCTGATGAATGGTGATAGGGGTGAACTGAGGCCTCAAAACCCTGATGAATGGTGATAGTGGTGGACCGAGGCCTCAAAACCATGATGAATGGTGATAGTGGTGAACCGAGGCCTCAAAACCCTGATGAATGGTGATAGGGGTGAACTGAGGCCTCAAAACCATGATGAATGGTGATAGGGGTGAACTGAGGCCTGTAAACCCTGATGAATGGTGATAGGAGTGAACTGAGGCGTCTAAGCCATGATGAATGGTGATAGGGGTGAATTGAGGCGTCTAAGCCATGATGAATGGTGATAGAGGTGAACCGAGACATCTAAACCCTGATGAAAGGTGATAGGGGTGAACTGAGACCCCCGAAACTTTGGGATGGTAATGAAGGTTAACTCAACCCTAAACTCAACAAAAACTAAAGGAGTGGTGAGGTAAGTGACCACACGCCCCTTTACCTTAGGAGTGGTAATGAAGGTGAACGCACGCCCTCAAACCTTTAGGAGAGGTTATATTGATGAACTGAAGCGTCTAAAACCCGAGGGATGCTATTGGGTCTGAAACCAGACCCTTGCTCCCGGGGGAAAGATCACCCCTACAAAACTCTGGCATTCGAACCCTGAGGGTGATAATCGGAGTAAACTCGAGCACAGAAAGCGTTGGGAGTGGTGATTAAGTTGAACGCAGGTCCCAGAACCCACGGAAAATCATATAGAAAACTAAGGCTTTCGAACCCGGGGATGATGATAGGGTTGAACTTGGGCCTGAAACCATAAGGAGTATTGAGAGAATGTACTCTTTCCCCAAAACCTTGATGAATGTGATTGGGTCAAAATTAATTAGACCAGCGAGACCGGGGTAGAGTTATCAGATTATAATTAAATGGTATAGTATCATATTTTAATAAGGTTTTGTACCTTTTTTCTACATAAAGAATATAAACGATCAAGCCCATACTATTACTTTTAAATCACAGACCAAGGTAAGACGTTTAATATAGAGAAATATTAGCACTCGATCATCAAGTCGTTACATGGATAGTCTTATACAAATCAATGTGTAACCGTATACCAGGCTAGCGATTTCTAGACTTCAGTCTATATAATCCCCGCAGTTATGCATTAGCGTGTGTGTGTATCAAGTAAACAGTTAGAGATTAAATAATCACACGGGCTATTTAACTCTGTGCTTCGCTCCTCTCTATAGAATCAACAAAGAAAATGAGTAGCCGTACTTTGTGAAAATCTTGATCCGGATAATACTGACACATTTCTTGTGATTTTTTCTCTCCAGAACTCTAAGTGGACGTAACACTGCCTCAAGGACAACTTTGGACGGTCGGATTTACTACTACATTTAAGGTTGTGGAGAGCGAGAGAGGCTTAAGTACTTTCGATTCGTCCCAGTGAATGGCTACATTGGTAGAGTGACGAGTGGTGGGCCAGTGGACGGTATGGTTGGCAAGGCAGGTTGGACATTCATCACCATTATATTGTCAGTAACACTGTGATGTGATCAAATACCCGAGACGTTAATTTATTGTGAATAACTTACCGGAGGAATGATTGTAAATGTTTGCCCATTTGATCAAACAAATGTTTTAATAGATCTGTGAACGTTTATCGCAGTAGTCCGGCTTGTTCAATAATCCTGATTTAAAGGGCACACGCGATAGTGTGTACAAAGTGTTTAGCTTGTTGATGGAACGTGTTAAAGTCACCTACTAGAGTTACCCAACGTTCTTGTTGGGACGTCACCGCGGGCACAACAGTGTTACAGTGACAAAATATCGACTGATGCTGGGAGTATCGCTCGGTGTTAGAACAAATAAGTTGTGATACAATGGGACCATTTCAAGACCAGAATCAGATGATGGAATTTTTAGACGAGTCGACCGGTGGATCGTCTCTCAGAGACAGTCCAAATATGTTTGAAGAGGAACAGTTGAGACTTGAGTCGGCTTTTTCCGAGGTCAGCTTTGGTGATGACTGTACAGACGAAGGTCGTTTGTCTCGTGCTTTACAATCGTGGATGCCGGATCATCAGTTCTCAAGTATCAAACCGATGGAGAAACCCCCACTGCAGCCAATCTATAGCGGACGTCTGGGTGAACACCAGCATCTAAAACGGTCCTCTAGCGAGGATTCCATCGTCACTAAACTCTCCTTATTCTCTTGCTCCTCTGGTCAGAACAAGGAAGAGGAAGAAGTAGCAGCCATTCGGAAAAGAAGAAAGAAGAAAAAGACAGTCGCTTCGACAGTAAAGGACGAGGATGTCCTTACGTGGGAAAAACTCAATGTGATTTACAGAAATAAAAGTGGAGCGTTCTCGAGCTTCATGAAGACACGGAATGCGATAACCATGGATACATTTACGGGTCAAGAAACAAAGGAATCGGACATACAACAACTGTTGGATCCAGTGGAAAAAGTCGCCATGGCACGCGTCGGGAGAACTGAAGGAATTCATCTCACATCCGATATCAAAAAAAGTGGCAGTATGACGAATATTGACGAATCTTCTTCACCAATGGTCGTACCAACATCCAGAGCCAAAGCGCCCCGAGTGGGATCCGCAGGTACGAAACCAACAAGTAAAGCTATCAATCTGGAGGAAATACGACAACAACAGGTAAATGAGAAACTAGCTCAGTTACAAAAGGCTCGAAATAAGAGGTCATTGGCGTTAAGAAAAAGGGCTTCTTTAGGTAATATTCAAAGGAAGATGTCTTTAGTATCCGATGTTAGTTCTGATTTTGGTCCAAACACCTCTTCGGCACGGTCATTATCACCGGAACCGGAAGAAAGGGTATCGGTGTGGAAAGGGGATAGGGAAATATTGGAAATGGATTTACGGAGGGGACTGACAGAACGTGCAACGATGAGAATAAAAAGTACGACCGCAGCTTTGGAGCGTGTGACTGGCTTCGGAGAGGATAACGAGTTCCAGCGTACTGTTGGAAGACACGAAGAATTTCCATTACACGTAACAGATGACTACGGCCTCCACCCAAAAATAGTGCAGAGGATTCGAATATCTCCACAGCTAAGCAATGTGATACAAACTGACATCAAAGTGAGAATGGGTCGGCCGAGATATCACGAGATTCGGGTCAGGGACATGGAGATTTGGAATCGAGGTCAGAGACTTGACCGCGGTCACACTAACCTTAAGGTTTTTAACTGGTTACATAGTCTACGTGAGGACCTCTTTGAAAAAGACATAGAATCTACATCGGATACAAATGTACCTTCTCGCCATGAAAAACTGGGAATTCTTCACGTGGAGTCGGCGGACGAGCCGGACGTCAAGCCTCTGTACCTGAAAACGTTTAGATAATGTTTGGATGTATGGTGTTTTAAATGTAATGTAATTTTAAACAAGGCGTGAAATACCATGTGAACATGAACACGTGACTTTCTTTATACTCCAGTTTGCGGATACACGTGACCGGATGGTCGTTACTGCTGGAGTGCTTAATGATTTATTTGATATATTCGACCTTCTAAAACAATGCCGACATTATTGCCAGTGAAATAAAGGAGTTTATCATTGTGATAAAACATTATATCGTATTTACCAATGATGATATATCTGTTAAAATTTGTACAAGTCAAAGCGATGTTTTCTACTCGTTGCATTAAATCTGAATTTTCTGTCCGGACGTCATAATGAATTAGTTTTTCGTCAAATCATTTATAGGATAACTAATGTGTGTGGATCATACCACAGTACAGTTACAGGATAACTGATGTGTGTGGATCATAACACAGTGTAGGTATAGGATAACTAATGTGTGTGGATCATACCACAGTACATTTACAGGATAACTGATGTGTGTGGATCATAACACAGTGTAGGTATAGGATAACTAATGTGTGTGGATCATAACACAGTACAGTTACAGGATAACTAATGTGTGTGGATCATAACACAGTACAGTTACAGGATAACTGATGTGTGTGGATCATAACACAGTACAGTTACAGGATAACTAATGTGTGTGGATCATAACACAGTACAGTTACAGGATAACTGATGTGTGTGGATCATAACACAGTACAGTTACAGGATAACTGATGTGTGTGGATCATAACACAGTGTAGATATAGGATAACTGATGTGTGTGGATCATAACACAGTACAGTTACATGATAACTGATGTGTGTGGATCATAACACAGTACAATTACAGAATAACTGATGTGTGTGGATCATAACACAGTACAGTTACAGGATAACTGATGTGTGTGGATCATAACACAGTACAGTTACAGGATAACTGATGTGTGTGGATCATAACACAGAACAGTTACAGGATAACTAATGTGTGTGGATCATAACACAGTGTAGATATAGGATAACTGATGTGTGTGGATCATAACACAGTGTAGATATAGGATAACTGATGTGTGTGGATCATAACACAGTACAGTTACAGGATAACTGATGTGTGTGGATCATAACACAGTACAGTTACAGGATAACTAATGTGTGTGGATCATAACACAGTGTAACTTAGGGTAACTAGGATAACAAAGAAAGAAGTTGACAGTAACGCTGATGACAAAGAAGTTGACATTGACGCTGATGACAAAGAAGTTGACATTGACGCTGATGACAAAGAAGTTGACATTGACGCTGATGACAAAGAAGTTGACAGTGACATTGACGCTGATGACAAAGAAGTTGACATTGACGCTGATGGCAAAGAAGTTGACAATGACGATGATGACAAAGAAGTTGACATTGACGCTGATGACAAAGAAGTTGACAGTAACGCTGACGACAAAGAAGTTGACACTGACGCTGATGACAAAGAAGTTGTCAGTGACGCTGATGACAATGAAGTTGACAATAACGCTGATGAGAAAGAAGTTGACATTGACGGTGATGACAAAGAAGTTGACATTGACACTGACGCTGATGACAAAGAAGTTGACATTGACGCTGATGACAAAGAAGTTGACAGTGACATTGACGCTGATGACAAAGAATTTGACATTGACGCTGATGACAAAGAAGTTGACAATGACGATGACGACAAAGAAGTTGACACTGACGCTGATGACAAAGAAGTTGTCAGTGACGCTGATGACAATGAAGTTGACAATAACGCTGATGAGAAAGAAGTTGACATTGACGGTGATGACAAAGAAGTTGACATTGACACTGACGCTGATGACAAAGAAGTTGTCAGTGACGCTGACTACAAAGAAAGAAGTTGACAGTAACGATGATAACAAAGAGGTTGACATTGACGCTGATGACAAAGAAGTTGACATTGACGCTGATGACAAAGAAGTTGACAGTGACATTGACGCTGATGACAAAGAAGTTGACAGTAACGCTGATGAAAAAGAAGGTGACATTGACGCTGATGACAAAGAAGTTGACAGTAACGCTGATGAGAAAGAAGTTGACATTGACGCTGATAACAAAAAAGTTGACAGTGTAGCTGATAACAAAAAAGTTGAAATTGACGCTGAAGACAAAGAAGTTGACATTGACGCTGATGACAAAGAAGTTGACATTGACGCTGATGACAAAGAAGTTGACATTGACGCTGATGACAAAGAAGTTGACATTGACGCTGATGACAAAGAAGTTGACAGTAACGCTGATGACAAAGAAGTTGACATTGACGCTGATGACAAAGAAGTTAACAGTGACGCTGATGACAAAGAAGTTGACAGTGACGCTGATGACAAAGAAGTTGACATTGACGCTGATGACAAAGAAGATTGACGCTGACTGATGACAAAGAAGTTGACAACGCTGATGACAAAGAAGTTGACAGTAACGCTGATGACAAAGAAGTTGACATTGACGCTGATGACAAAGAAGTTGTTGACGCTGATGACAAAGAAGTTGACAGTAACGCTGATGACAAAGAAGTTGACAGTAACGCTGATGAAAAAGAAGGTGACATTGACGCTGATGACAAAGAAGTTGATAATGACGCTGATGACAAAGAAGTTGACATTGACGCTGGTGACAAAGAAAGAACATTGACGCTGATGACAAAGAAGTTGACAGTAACGCTGATGAGAAAGAAGTTGACATTGACGCTGATAAAAATTAAGTTGTCAAAAAAGTTGAAATTGACGCTGAAGACAAAGAAGTTGACATTGACGCTGATGACAAAGAAGTTGACATTGACGCTGATGACAAAGAAGTTGACATTGACGCTGATGACAAAGAAGTTGACAGTAACGCTGATGACAAAGAAGTTGACATTGACGCTGATGACAAAGAAGTTAACAGTAACGCTGATGACAAAGAAGTTGACATTGACGCTGATGACAAAGAAGTTGACATTGACGCTGATGACAAAGAAGTTGACAATGACGCTGACTACAAAGAAAGAAGTTGACAGTAACGCTGATGACAAAGAAGTTAACAGTAACGCTGATGACAAAGAAGTTGACAATGACGCTGATGACAAAGAAAGTTGTTGCCAGTGACGCTGATGGAAAATGAGGTATTCCATACCTTGACAGATTTATCTGTCCTTTCTAGAGGTATTCCATACCTTGACAGATTTATCTGTCCTTTCTAGAGGTATTCCATACCTTGACAGATTTATCTGTACCTGTCTAGAGGTATTCCATACCTTGATAGATTTATCTGTACCTTTCTAGATGTATTCCATACCTTGATAGATTTATCCGTACCTTTCTAGAGGTATTCCATAGCTTGACAGGTCTATAACAGATCGTTATGATACAGAGTCTATCATGAGCTTAGATCTGTCATTGTGTCAAGTTCTATAACAGACCGTTATGATACAGAGTCTATCATGAGCTTAGATCTGTCATTGTGTCAAGGTCTATAACAGACCGTTATGATACAGAGTCTATCATGAGCTTAGATCTGTCATTGTGTCAAGGTCTATAACAGACCGTTATGATACAGAGTCTATCATGAGCTTAGATCTGTCATTGTGTCAAGGTCTGTTGTAGGCCGTTATGATACAGAGTCTATCATGAGCTTAGATCTGTCATTGTGTCAAGGTCTATAACAGACCGTTATGATACAGAGTCTATCATGAGCTTAGATCTGTCATTGTGTCAAGGTCTGTTGTAGGCCGTTATGATACAGAGGCTATCATGAGCTTAGATCTGTCATTGTGTCAAGGTCTGTTGTAGGCCGTTATGATACAGTCTATCACGAGCTTAGATCTGTCATTGTGTCAAGGTCTGTTGTAGGCCGTTATGATACAGAGTCTATCATGAGCTTAGATCTGTCATTGTGTCAAGGTCTGTTGTAGGCCGTTATGATACAGTCTATCATGAGCTTAGATCTGTCATTGTGTCAAGGTCTGTTGTAGGCCGTTATGAGATTGAGTCTATCGCGAGGTTTGTAGTGTCAATATCTCATTCTATGCACGGGAAAAGGAATAAATTATTTAAAATCCTATCCCTCCTATCTTTCTTCTGGATCTCTATCCATTTCATTTGATGCCCAGCTGCATTGAGTGGGTGATATATAGCATTTCTTTAGTCCGTCTATCTTTCTACACTAGAATTGGAATCAAGATGCGATGTAAGGGAAGTAACTCATATAGAAAAAAATAAATTAGGTTTAGCCTAGCAAGTGTGTGCCTAAGCGGAAGCTGAGCATTTATTTCATTACGTTTAATTCATTGATAAAACATGTCTTCCACATAAATTAATCAATCAATTTTGTGTAAAAGATGTTGCCCACGGGTGTAAAACGTAAAGCCTTGATCAGAAACCTTTGAAATGCGTTTTATGAAAACAGCAATGGCAGCGTCAACCTTTTTTTTATCTCAAAATTATTCAATTAAATTTCAAGAGTTATAATCACCATACCTGTGTAATCGTTATATTATAAAGGAGCATCTTCGTACAATTTTGCTCTAAGATTTTAAGATAAAGTTGACAATTTATTTGACTTTGTTTTTTAATTTTTCCATTTTTGTGATTTATCTCCATATTCAGCCTTATTTCTCATTTGCTTGATAAGCTATCATAACTAAACCTGTAACACACAGTGGACTTATATGGGTATATAACAATCCAGACATACATTTCAGGTTAAAAAAAGTTCACTGAGAATTGGAATTTATCAAGGCATTTAGCTAATCAATAGGGTTTCCGTGTCACTCGATGCGGAGCTTTATTTCTCTCAAAGTATCAAAACTTTCATAACCAAACTTTGGCATGTATTTACATTATATATGATCATCCTAACGGATTTCAGGATCTGCTTTTCACCTTCACTTTACAGTTAATTGGAATTTGTTAATTAATTTGTCTATGTTTAAGTTTTCCGTTTTTCTCGGTGTTGAGCGTTCACCTGACTTTCACCTACAGTTGAACTCGTGTTGAGCTATATTTCAAAATACACGTCATAACCAAACCCGGAAGACATTCTTTATGCATAGTCAACACTGTGATGAATACATGTACAACATATTTGTTTAATCAGGATGATGATATTGATTAGTAGGGACACGTGAGATACGTCTGTTTCTTGTTAGGATACAACCTAACGACAGTTCAATGGTTAAAATAATTCAGTTTGAGAAAATGCCTTTTTCCCTACAAATTTTGAACATGTTTGGCAGAATTACCAGGTTATAGGGCTTGCAAATCGGTCAGATATGTCACTATAGTGTTAATATTTTGAAGTATGACTATTCTCTGGTTATGGAATCTAGTTTAAAGTAAAGTTTTTTTTATTTCTTTACATTTTTGTCGATATAGTAAGTCTATGGACGAAAGTTTCTTTAAATGTCTACAGTTCAATCAAATATCAAATACAGTGCTGCAGTGTCTGAATGTTCTGATTGGAAGGTGTGTAACTGTGAAACGGATTTTAATGATGAAAATAATGGCCTTTTGGAATATCTAATCTTTATTTCAAATGTTTATTGGTGGTTTTGGAAGACCAAAAAGGACAGCTAGGACTTCTAGGTCAATAACTGAAGTATTATTATGTATTTCATATACAAAACAATTCAGCTGGGGCGAGATGGACGCATCATCATCATCATCATCATCATCATCATCATCGTTGAGGTTGTTGTTATTCCTTCTCTATCTATGCTATGTCTTCTAATAGATTTGGTGACTGGAGTAAAAAAAGAGAAGGAATGAAATCAACTTCAAAGACAGGTAAATAGATATAGATTCTGCAGTCACTGTGGGGTAAATAATCTAGACAGTTGTCACTTGTGTTGAACTTTTAATACTAACGTCATCTTTCACTGATTTCTGGTTGTAAGGAATTGTTATGCCAATGAATACATATATTAATACTGAAAGTTGATTTTTTTTATCGAAATCTCAAATTTAACCCTGAACTATTAAAGAGCCAGACCCACTCCTCGACCGATATTATTTTATATAATAAAAATTCATGATTTTCTATATTTCTCGGGTAGCAAAAGTTCTGACTAACCCTGTAATACCGCAATTTTAAAGTAAATCGCTACCAATCTAACGTAATAAATAGTTTTAAAAAAAGAATTTGAAACGACTCGGTGCTAATTCATAATTATGCGGGAAGTCCTACCCTCTAACTCACGCGCAAAGAACTGTAAATAAATCTGCCGTCTTCCAACATGGCAGAAAGCGTGCGAGGGAAGCGGAGAAAAAAACGTGTTTTGGCGGACTCTGAGGCGAAAAGAAGGAAGATGGCTGTGGCTCTCTCGTGTAGTATCACTCTAAAATCATATTCATAAATACTCTTATCATCCAATATTCGCTTTAGATAGATCCATTTCGCGATGTTCTATCTGTTCGTTACCCTTATCGTAGCCCCCATTTGAGGGCCTCTTTCCAATTAATCGTAGCTTTTCTCGTAATCTGCACGTTTTTGTGTCATATGTAAGCATTGAAAGATGTGATCAATACAAACGTTAGATGATTTCCATACAGGATATATAGAGTATTGATTGCATTTATCGGTAAAATCTCTTTACAAGTGATGTCACATGGACGTACTACTCACCTCTTCCTCCAATTTTGTTTTGGTTCTGACCGCGTGTGAACTTTTTACGTGACTTTTCCTCGTCAATATTCATATCCTGGTGTTGATTAATGAGACTAATTCCAGCACCGATATCTCCAGTACCCTTTCAATTTCAAGTTCGAAACTTTATACAAGTCTTTATTTATATATTATCTTTTAGTATACAACAACATATGCAGTCAATAAAATATGAAAAAATATCTATAACGGAGTTGGGTCTGGCTCTTTAAGTTGTTGACTGTTATTGAAGGTCTGATACTGAGTCCTCATGTTAGAGTCTCCTGGATGCATCAGGCTAGATGACTGTAGTAAAAAAGTAAGGTTTTTACTTATTTGTTGTCATATTCTTCAGTGTCAAGGGTACAATTGATAGCAAACTGATCAGATTGATTACAATCAATAATGAAAAATTAATCTAGTGAAAAATAAAGAAAACAATTATTAATAACTAAACTGAACATTATGTGCAAACAGTACATATATAAATACAGCTGTGTAACAAAACACGAGTGACATAAAGTAGTTTTCTATCACGTTAGAACTAACTTGATATACACACACCTTGATTACATTTAACCCTTTGGTGTCATAAGTGACTACCTCTCGTATATTTTTCAAATGAAAAAGAAATACATGTATAGCAAACGCTCATCAGGTGAAAAGATCAAAAAGGGTTAATCAACCTGAATTATCACTCAATAGTAATAACATATGTAGATATAACATAAAATTAATTGAGTTTTCATACTTAAGATAAAATCCCCCTGTATATATATTGACATCTGTGAATGCTACAAAAACTAACAAAACCTAGTTACTTTCATGTCTACTTTAACAATTCCAGCAGAAGTATGTGGACCTGCACAGACATCTGTGTGAAATGGCATTTTGTCATTTTGTAAATCAGAGAGAAAAACAATCTGATAGCAATATTTCTAATTTCTGTTTAGAAAATTCAAGAAAAAAGAGTGCAATCACGTAATGATCCAAGTCGATGTATCATTTGTTACTCTATGCACGCCGATGATACAAGATGTAACCATATCCATAACCTGAAACACAACAACAGAAACCCCACAAAGCATCAAGAATATTACTATACTTCATATATCTGAAGAATACAGAGTCATGATTACCTGGGTGGAAATAATTGTTACATGTATATACATTTTAAAACACATAACAGGCAAATACAATGTACTGTTGACTGTACCATGAGGAACTTTTTGCATTTCAGCTAAGGAGTAATCTTGATCGATATAAGTAAATAATCACAGCCATAGTAATAAACTCTGGCATACTTCAAGGAAGAATGTTCTTTGAAAACGTGTATAGAATATCTAAACTGTGGTTAAAATTTAAGTCAATTGATAACAGTTAACAATTAAGACTATTGTTGAAAGACAAACCTAATGGAGAAGCCATCTTTGGACTAACAGTAGTTGAAATCTGGATTTTCTGGTATACAGTACAGATATTAAAATGGATTAGTTATTTTAAAATCTGCTTTGCATCAACATTTAAGTCAGTTGAAGTTTTTGTTTATTTTTAACAATGGGAATAGATAAATGATATGTAGGAATAAACTGAAATAGAAAAATACATAACCTACAACAATACATTAATGTAGCTGGTTATAGGTTAACTTTATCTAGGTCTTAATGAAATTTTGAAAAATAGAATAAATTCTCTGAATGAAACTAAACAAATTCAGCTTATGCTGCGTGTAATAAAATCGCTTATTATTTTTTTTTATTCAACAAACACTCGACTCGTCGTCAGCAAGGATATAAATATAACCAACAGAAAAAACAACAGTCTCTGCTTCAGTTCGTTCTGGTCGATTAGTCTTTATTTTAAGCTACAGACGAATGCCATTCGTCTGCAATATGTCAAAAACATGGCATTTAATAGAAACACAAATAATAACGCACCTGTAACAAATTAGAATAAAAGTTTGAGAATGATTAACATTTTGACCATCCTCATACAATTACATTAATGGTCACATCTCACATAGGGTTACATACACATTTGTCCGTTACAAGTTACACCGAGATACAGTGTGTATTAACATGACCTATGTCAACAGTTATCAGAACAGTGTTAACAAAACTCGCCCTAAGTAAGGTAGACAAGCCATAATAGCATAAGCCTTCTTCGCTTCACAATAAATCTCGCTGAGATGAACACCTGAGATGGACAAACAATATTTTTCTACAGAAACTTACTATATATGAAAAATACAAGAATAAAATTCAGTAACTTCCGAGATTCGCACCTCGGCTACGATAATTAAACTACAGCACCAAGACCTTATCCATTATACTATCGCAGACGTTATCAAATAGTAATGAAACGAATATACTAATTGACACTTACGATGTAAGTACATATATGTAGATACAGGTAAACGATTAATCAACAGCAGCGATCACAAGGTTAAGTTGTGTTAACACATACTTTTCTTATTCCAGTTATACTTAAAGTGGCTGCTGTGTAAAAATAAAGTTGTTAATTATGAATACTAAGTAGTTTCGTGTTGACAGATCACAAAACACACAGACTGGCTTTCATGCTCGCTTGATCTCCGTTTACTTCCACTGCGCATGCGCTACTTCCGGCAATACTCTCACCCCTTGCATACTAGAGGTAAATACTTCCCCCGATAAATCTGATCCCCAGGATACCTTCACTACACTCCTCCCAACTTTATGATGAAGTAGTTGATCCCCGGTAGGATACTTCACCTGCAGGTACTTCGGAAGATGTCCATGTCCCTGCATGCTGATGTGGGCCAAAAGCCATTGTGATGTTCAACACAATTTGGGAAAATGTCTTAACTAAATGTGTCCTGGGCAACAAGCCACATCAGAGTATCAGAGTGTAGCAAAAAGCCTTGTGCTCTGATGTCTGTCCTTTCCTCCTGGACCAAGCATCAGGTCTTAGGTACAGATCGTGTACTTCAGGCGACTGCTCACTGTTGATTGAATAGTCTCCTGGCATTCTCGGCTGATGTCTTCAGAAGGACATTCACATGGATCTGTCGAATTGGAGCAATTATCTCCACCACTGAATATAGCTGATTCGGAGCAACATTTGACCTGCTCCCACAAAATATGGGGCATCTGTCTCCACAAACGATCTTGTCTGCCGTAACTGCTTTCAGGGCACGAATCCGTGGGCCGGAGAAAGACTGGACCATGCGGGTAAATCCAAGGTACAGGTTGGGAAACTCTGCTGACCACTGGCTAAGGACATACTCGTCTCCAGAGAAGCAATGCAAGTATATCCTCTGATCAGCAGGTACATTCTTCTTCACAAGGTGCAACAGCAACACGCAGACCTCTGTCCCGGTATCACCTGGCATTCCACATACATTGTAGCACCAAGGAGTGTCGTACCCGCAGTAGGTCCATCTGTTCTGGCGAGCGCCTTCGTGGCTCTGTCTGGTCCAAACCCACCTCACCTATTGCAGTGACTCTTCTTAGCCAAGAAAGCTCCTTTAACTTCCGGAAAGAGTCATCTTCGTCTTTCTGGTGACGGAAATGGTGTTTGGGGTGGAGTCCTACATCAACTACCATATCCTCTGGAAGGTCAAGAAGACTCCGCCCGGTCGGATAGGTATAGGGATAACAGAAGGACACACACGACCCAACCAGGTCAAGTTCCTTCCCACTCTCCACAGCTGTTCCCGCCAAAACATATTCAAATGATGTTCCCTGGGACAGGCCCATAGCCTTGATGATGCGATCGGGATGGAAGTGTGCATCAAATGCTACAGGTAATTCCACCACCTTCAACATGCTTGGGGAAGCAGTGTAAGATTTCTTCCAGTACTCCCGGTCTTCTGGCTCCACGCAGGCATTCATTAGAATAATGATCCTACAGTGCAACAGGACGGCAGGAGATTTAGGAGGATCTTGCCTAAATTTCTCCGAACTGGCCAGTCCATGAACTTGCACAGGGCTGTCATTGCGTTGGAGTGGGCGGCAATTATTTGGGTATTATCTGCCGTAGATATCATGTGCTGCATCCGAACAAAGGTGACCAAGTCATCCCAAGTTTCGGGCCGGGCCATAAGCCACGTTCGAACTTGTCGGAGATCCCTCCGTCGCAGCACCAACACTTCCTCACCATCCGGTGGAAGGTTCTCGACAAAGATGCCAGGAATGTGGTATCTGAATGCATGTGCCTAGACATACACACTGGGAGCCTTACATTCTGGTACCCAGTAGAGCTTTTCCACATCCCTTCGCTGCTTCTTACAGTCACTGCCTTCAACAGCTCCCCCCTCAAGCTTTCTCCCGGATTCTATGGTTCGCTGTTAGGTTGAGCTTGATTCCCGGTCAGAAGCCCTGGAACCATCTGAATGGCGCTTAGAAAGCGATACCAATCTCTGTTCCTTCTTCCCGTGATGAGGAGGCTGAAGTTGTATCTCTATTCTCCTGGGTGCAAAACAAGAAGTCACCTTTCCCTTTGATCTGAGACCCGTGGTTGGATCATTTCTTGAAGTCTTTGGCCTCTCCTGGTTACTGGAGGGTTCAACATTGGTACTAAAGGACACTCGATTAGAAGCCAAGTCCTCCTCTTCCCCAGTACCATGACCGTTCTCTGGCAAAGCCAACTCTCCTACCGAACCCAAGAGGGGACCGGTCTTCTCTCGCGATCCCTGCTATGGTGATTCCAATATAGAGGAGTCTGGATTGTCAACTTCCGTACTAGAATCTTGTATAGCCCGGTCGGTTAGCAAGACAACCTCATCAGATTTGGCAGGGCAAAAAGCCGCAGTGCCTAGTTCTTTTCTCTAAGGTTTTGTCCGTGATTAACCTGATGTTTTGTTTTTAATCATCGTACCATGGGATACAGGTTCATAGCTTGTCCTTTGCTCAACTCTACGAGGCCTTGCGACGTGATGAATTTCACTGTCTATCCAATCTGCATCCAAAAGTTCAAAATCATGCAGACACCTGGCTACACAGACCAGCAAATTTTGGGTAGCCCGCCTCTTATTTCCTTTTCGGAGCATGTCTTTTGCTATGGTGACCATCTGGCGCACCACCGACTTGAGCTGATAAGGATCGTTTAGATGAATCCCACTCTGGGTAACGAAGTCATTGGCTGGCTCAAATAAACAGTGTCGGGCTTCTAAGCCCTCCACCTTTTTCAGGAACATCCGCTTCCCTTCCATTCCTGCAAAGAACCAGAAAGGGTTTTGAGTCCTAGTGGCTAGTACCGCCACACCTTACACACCTATACTTCATAGGTGGCAGAGATGTTTACATAGGAACCATGGTACCACTCATCACAAAAGTCACATTGAATTATGAAGCGGCCATTGCACGACTGCCGGCATTTTTATCCTCATGATCTCCTGCAATTTCGTCATCTGTGGATCTATTTTTAAAAACTGCGACCCAAGCCAGTATTTTCCTATCTCCTTGCGGGGCATCATCCTGTCATGGTTGGTGACAAATACTGAATTCCTAAGCTAGACACGATACAGATATGCAGACAACTTTTTTACCACCTGGTGGGCCTTTTTCATATTCTCTTGTAGTGTTGCCACATACTCTTGCGTAATCTCCGACCTCACTGATGGGTTAAGGAACATTAACTGAGCCAGTGTGGTTGCTTCTCCTCCCAACATTAACATATTGGGGTAAACCCAATCGACCGATTTACTGACGCTTTGAGAGCCCCGGCAATCTGCTGTAGATGCTCGTCTCACCTGTTTTGAGACTTGCTTAGAAAGCACCGCACCGCATCCATCAGTGTTCTATTGATCCTCTCTACCTGCCCATTGGACGAGGGTCGATCAGATGTTGTCCGAGATTTATGTATTTGAAGAGCCTGACAGAGAGCTTCAAACAGCTTGCTCTCAAAATTACGCCCTAGGTCCGAGAAAAGATGAAAAGGACATCAAAATCTCGAGAAGAATGGGCTGCAGATGGAATGTCAACTAGCTGGTACCACCAAGTTCAAATCACTAGTTTCCAGTTTCTTCTTGAACAGAACTCCATCTATCAGTACAAACAGTTCTTTGTTCGCCCTATAATACTTGGTTTCTAGTGAGGCCATGAACAATTCTTTGTTCCTCTTCCAGTTCCTTTCAACTGAATCCCCAGCAAGACGGTATGTTGGTTGTTGAAGGGCCTAGCTCTACTGGGCAAACCAACACCTTTGGATCATTGTGAACCAGCTCAACACGAAGACTTGACCCAGCATACCACACTATAGAGTCTAGAAGACCCTTCAACTTCCATCTCCCGAGTATTGCCATTTGCACCGACAGGCGAACTGTATCATCCACTGCCCTGGTGAACTCACCCCACTGTCGGTCAGCTCTCTCACAGTACTTACATCCCCCACATGGCAACTTGTCGGGTGTTATCCCGGCGATAAACGATGGACATGGCGTAAGCGTCTCCGGTAAACGGGATAACGCATCTGTGTTAACATGCTTTGCCCCTGCTCTGTGCTTTACTAGCATGTGGTATTGCGAGAGCTCCTCCATCCACCTTGCCAACTGACCTTGAGGGTCCTTGAACAGCAGCAAACAAGTTAAGCTTCAATGATCGGTCCGCACTGTGAACCTATTCCAAGCAGATAGTACTTAAACCGCCTTTTGAAGCGCACTATACTCAACAGTTCTTTGCTGGTTGTGCAGTATTTCTTTTGCTCAGGCGTCAAAGAGAAACTGCTGTAAGCATGACTTTCTCCACGCCGTCTTGCACTTGGCTCAGCACTCCACCAATAGCCAAATCTGATGCATCCGTGTCTAGAATGAATGGATCCTCTCCATTAGGTAATGCTAAAACCGATTGTTCTGTTAATACTGTCTTCAACCTCTCAAATGACGTCTGTTGACTTGGTCCTCACTGGAACTTGTTCTTTCCAGTCAAGCCATAAAGAGGTTGAGCTACTTTGGCGAAGTCTTGGACGAATGTCCGATGATAGTTAATAAACCCCAACAAGCGTTCCACATCCTTGGAACATACCTGAACTGGCCCGTTCTTGACTGTTTGGATGTCTTTATCTCCCATGGCAATCTTGTTAGAACTGACTATCCTTCATAGGAATTACAATTCCAGCTGGAAGAGGACACATTTCCGAGTCTTCAGTTTCATTCCAAATTCACAAAACCGGCCAAACGATTCTGAAAGATTCTGAAGATGGTCTTTGAATGTTGCTCCTCAGACCAGAATGTCGTCCAAAATATCAAACAATTATGATATTTTAACTAGATGTAACAAAGTGCAAATAATGATGTTTTATAATTTGTCTTGATTTTAAATTAAATTTAATCACGGACTTATATACATGTGTATATGTGTATATAAGTCCGTGATTTAATGTTGCGCCGCGTTTATTGTGCTGTTTGCGTGTGTATGTGCGCTGCGTATGGTCGCTAGGCTGTGTACCTGTATACGTGTATGTTCGTACCTGTCACTTGTCTAACCTGTTTACTTATTCTATGGTTCTATATATAGGTGTTACCTCGTTTTGGTATAGTGGTCAGTGTCTTTTGTTAGCTTTTGGCGCGGATTTTATAGAGACATTTGTAGAGGAACTGCGCGGACGTGTTACACACAGTCCGGTTCTTCCTAATTTTTACTATTCTGTGAAGTCTTCCTGAAGATCATATATATGGTATGTACAACATTTAGTTGTCATATAATCTAATAATATATTTGGTTATTTTGAATTATTATTTATTATTGTGAATTTTGGAAAAAGTATGTCTTAATTGGAATTAGCGATAAGGATTGAAATTATTGGTAAAGATTATAAAGTTATTAGAATCATATTAGTATTGGCCAAAACGTTCATATTGTCTGCAAATGTTGTTCATACATGATCTGTATGTGTTGGTATGTATCTTTTACAGATAATCCATGTACGTAAATTAAGAAGTCTTTGTACAGAAGTTCTTCTGTGAAACCCCCGACCCATAGTTGGGGTAGGTACATGTGTATTTTACTGATTGTAGTCAATTATGAATATGATATATATATATTATAGTAACAATGTATAAGCATTTTCTATTCTAAGATAAATATTTATGATAATAAAAGTATTCATTGTAAAGATAGATTATTATTCTTGTTTTTTGTTTGAATAGTTTTAGCATGATAACATATGAAATATGTATTCACTGAGCACTTCATGTACATCATGTAAGGATTAGTATTATCTGTGATATCTGCTTAATTCTTTGTGTATTGTCTTTGTAGGTTTTTTTTTTAATTAAATGGAATAAAAATATGAAGCGTCGATCTGCGTCCTTCTTCTACACTCTATTTTACATAAGGTAAAATAACACTACAATAATTACACTAAAAACAATTTAATGTCCAACTTCTGCATATAAATCGCCTGATTCTGCCCGATTCTGTCCGATCCTGTAAATCGTCTTTCGGTCTTGCGCAACCAAATCAGATATGAGTGTTTTATGTAATACGTCTTCATTTTTCCTTAATTTTTTTTTTCACAATGTATAACATATGATGATATCAATGCAAAAGAAATTCATAAAAATCATTAAAACGGTACTATTCTAGTCCGATTCCTGCCCGGTCTTGCCCGATCCTTTAAATCGACTAACCGCTTCTTACCCGCACAAAACCGAATGACGATTTGCAGGATCGGACGGAATCGGGCGGTTTATACGTCCCTGGTAGAATTTGGACATAGTGTTATTTTACCTTAGTTAAAATATCATAATTTCATATTGATCAAAAACGGCCAAAAAAGTATTATGTTCTTTTCAACGTAATGTGCCGCACTGGACCGAAAGACGATTTGCAGGATCGGGCGGTTTATATGTAGAATTCGTTTTGTTACCCCGATTCTGCCCGATTCTGTAAATCGTCGGACCCGGAACTGCAGGAAGCTAGGTAAAAGTTTACTGAAGATTAATTCTCTGAAATCTAAATTCTGTGAAATCTCTTATATTCTTTGTGATAAATTAGCTGACATTATATTCATTGCAGAAACCAAACTTGATAGCACGTATAACCAGAACAACCTCTATGAGACAGGTTACAAATCTTTCAGGAAAGACAGGACATCACGAGGAGGAGGACTGATCGCCTACTCCAGAACCAATTTACCGGTAAGACGCAGAGATGAACTTGAACTTGATCTGCCTATAGAATCCATTGTGCTAGATACTGTCATAAATAACAGTGTGGGCCGTTATAGGGGTATATCGGCCACCATCAATGGACAGTGAACTTTTTAGAAATCTTAGTACTTGTACCGTCCTGACAGCAGGATGACCGCTTTGCTTTCTTCGCACTTTCCTTGCACCGTTCCACCAGCGGGACTTTCTAACTTTTATATTATGTATGTAGTTGGTTGTAAGCTGATACTTGTACTTGTCAGGGAAATGGGTTTGGCCTTATTTATGTAGAGTAGATCTGATAGAAGGAAGGTTGTATTTCCTGTGGTCATTCCCATACACATACCCCTGCTGAGTTAAGCAGTGAGAACACCTTTACAAGGGGGATGGTTTGATATATAAATGTTGATACCTTGCTATCCCAAGGCTTATCCTCAGTATTCTATGATAATACTATACATCTGTTATGTATTTCGGGGACAATCCAGAGGTTATTTCTTCAGGTCACACTAGTAATTAAATTTTACTTAAGTTCTATTAGTTCTATCTGGCTTCAGTTAGAATTTTATAACATATCTATAGACCAGTTGACATTTTGCTATTACATACATGTTTATAGTGCTAAATTAAGGGTCCATATTGACCTGTCTGAGATTGTCCACCTTTAGGGATAATGAATATACTTGAGAGCCTCATGTTTATTCATTCACTGTAAATATCATCATTGTTATTCATATTCAATTGTTGAACTCAAAATACTGCTTTTTGATGGTCATTTCGCTATATGCCATTGGCACTATGAACCTGAGGTAGTATGAGCGGACGTGATTGAGTGATTGAGTGTTGCCTGTTAACAATATTCAACTTAGAACATGATGCAAGTCGACGCAGCATCCTCTTGTGTTGAGGCCCTTAACCCTTCTACAATAGTAATACTGGGTCACATTATCATTCTGTCACAATATTGTATTATAACCCCCCCTCCCCCACCCCCCACCTCTGTAGTAGCAGGTAATAATAGTGATACATAATATTTCATATTACTAATATAATTCATTGATTTTGTTTATTGTATAACAGAATGGAGTTGAGTAGATCTGCAGAGCCTCACCCTGAGGTAGACAGTGATAGAAAATCTGGTGAAAATAATGAAGGGATATCCCAGTCCGAGCAAGTTGAATTCAGAACAGAAAGCATTCAAGTTGATGATGAAGAAATGATACCTAGAAATGGGGCAATATTTGACATTGACTTCAGAAACCGTGCTGAACCAGTTACAACAGAACCAGTTACAACTAAACCAGTTACAACAGAACCAGTTACAACTGAACCAGTTACAACAGAACCAGTTACAACAGAACCAGTTACAACTAAACCAGTTACAACTAAACCAGTTACAACTAAACCAGTTACAACAGAACCAGTTACAACAGAGAGTGTGGATGGTGGTCCAGTGGAGGATATGGATTCTTCTGGAAACAACTCCACAAACCCCCTCCCAAGAAGTGAATCTTCACCTAACAATACCAGCAGCCTTTCACATCCTCATTTGAAAGCATCATTTAATAAAATTCATTGTGGAACATTGGCTGATAGCTTTAAACAGCGAGATAATACGGACATATACCTTGAGTATGATACATGTGAAATACAGCAATGTTCTGATGAAGATGCAACAGCCAATGGAGAAAGCCACCGGGATATTTTGATGAGGCAGCAACAATGTAGCAGGCAGCAGAATGACCAAAATGTTGCCCACATAGGGAAAACTGAAGTAGACAACATCCAAGAACGGGAATGTTTTGGAAACAATACAACTCAACCACCAGAAAACCAAATTGAAGGTAACTTTGGTTTATATTGTCACAACATAAGTTTTGTAGCTTTGACAGCTTTTACAGTTAATTTTTTCAGTATCTGTATGTATATGACAACTTTTTTAAGAATTTCACTGACCTCCATAGATATTCATAAAGGCCTGGTAAACTTGTGTTGATACTTAATTGATGGATGATTTCAAATCTTTGCAGGTGTACCCTATGGAGGAAGGAAAGGACAAATGACATTATATAACACATGTAGTGGCGACCAATTTTTAAATGGTATACACCAAGTATCACGTTTCCCCCAATTAAAGCACCTTTTAATCGAGCTAGCAGAAAGATGCCCTGAATCCTATAGCGTAAGTTTTAACTTTTGATAATTGTAATAACAGTTCTTATAAGTGAATTAACTTAGGATAGCTTTGGTCTCTTTCTGTCTGTCTGTCATAAGATAGTTTTCCTTTTTTGATTTTGGGACTGATCATTAAAACAACATGGTTGGCAGGCAGCCATCTTGGATTTTGGCAATGAATGATTGTTATTGCTGTTTTTGATCTTGATAATGCAAGTTTGTTGACATTCTTTCTCAAGTTTCCTTGTAGGTGCCTCTCGATCCCTATATAATGGTGCTCTTTGAATTTTGAAAGTTATCTGAGAAACAAAATGAAAATGTGACCTTCTTGAATTTTTAAAAAGTTTTTGTTATTAGTACTTCATGAGAGGAAATGTATCTTTCTTAAATTTTTTACTCTGGTACCTGACTTAGTTCTGCATCCCACAATTCCATAAAAACAAAATGGCTGGGATCATTTCTATTTTGATAACAATAATTGATATAATTACGTAAATGTAGCAGATTTGGTAATCATATATCGCATTTACAGCATCTGTTGCAGGCATTGCTTATGTGTGAGAAAAGGCAATTTACAGATGCTAAATGTTGTCTAGTGCCAGGAACTCCTGACATGTTGAATACAGAAGGTAGAACGGTGATGCCATCTATTGAAGCACAACTGCGGCATTGGCTGACAACACGTTGCAGAAAATGTCAGTATAGTTTTCAGGGAATTAAACGTGTGGACATCGACTTGAAACAATTTAATAAGTAAGTTTACTTTCTTTAAAAGTTAGTGTTTCTGATACCTACTACATCATTCAGTGAGATAAAGTATTTAAAATATCTGGTTGGCCTGGATGTTGAGTGTGTGAATTTTTACAATGGATTTTCAGATCATGTATAAAATATAAGTGTAATGTTTGGATAAAGTAATTTTGGTAAACCAAACAAGATCAGTGATACAGGTCCTGTGAATCTCTTGTTATCAAATGCATTGCTTTAAGCAATTTTTATGATCGAATTATTAATATAATCATTTACAGGTTCAGGAGCTTTCAAGGAACTTTAAGTGACTTTTTTTCATCTAGAAGTCAGACTTGCAGCCAGAAAGGGTATGTACCACATCGTCAAAATCTTAGTCTCATGCACAACTTGTCGAGTGCACATACATCTTATACTCAGACCGTCTTGTTACGCCACTGCTTAGTAAAGATTTTATATCATGCTTCTGTCTGGGTGGACGAAAAAATATTTGGCAGAATAAAAAAAATAATTGAAGCATACTGTCTGGACATCGATTCTGGACCGTTACTTATGTGTATCACATGCACTATTGACCTGTGTGACCTCGCACCCTGATAATTTAGGTTGATGCAACATGACCCAAAGACAACAAACAATAGAACATACACGTACCTTCTTCTGTAATGTTCTTTATGTTTTGTTTGATCATGAATCTGTTTAGTAATCTGACTTTAATTATTGTTTTGATATAGATGTGACGGTAAAACAATGACCCAGACAGAATTTGAATCCGGAGTTGCACCACTCATTCTTCCAATTAATTTATACTTTAATCGTGATCTCATACCCAACAGTCAAAGCATTGATGTTAATGAGGTTCTGGAACTCTTTGGTAAAAGGTTTGTATTGGTTTGCTACTCACTTAAGTGTTACGATACAAAAATTCAGGGGTCACTCTTCGTAGTTCTCAAATAAAACGTACAGGCATACAGTAAAAAAAATTCCAGTCTTCCAGGGCTGTGCAATTCCTGTTAAGATTCATGATTCTGAACGTACTACAAAGTGAAGAGGTCATAGAACATTAAAAATTTTTAAAAGGCCACACAACATTTGAGAAAATTTGATTAATCTGATTATGAAAGCAGACTCAAGAAATCATGAGAATTAGAGAAATGTTGATTGTGTTATGGTGTTTTCTTTTTTAGTAATTTTTTTTTTATTATTATAGGTACTTCATGTTCTTGTTTACCTTTGTTCGACCTCCGGATGGACAGGGCAACCTGGGACATTATATGTCCCGAGTCTACCGTCCAGATACCTCAGGTGAGAAAGATAGCCAAGGGAGACCAGTTGGACGCTGGTACTTTTATCCGAATAATGAGAGTGGATATATGATTCCCTGGACAGAAAACCAAATGGATCCAGAAGGGACACAATCAAGTTATGTGTATTTTATTCAGATCCCTTCTTCTGAAGCACCTTCTAAAGGACATGACAGTCCACAAAATGAGGGTCAGCTATAGACTGTACAATGTTGGTCAATTGTGATCTTTAAAGAAAAGACTGAGTTTGTGTCACCTTACCATAGTCTGTTATAGCTTTTTTTGAATCACTGAAGAGTGTCGAGCTCTGAGATCCCTGAACCGTCACTCTTATATCACTGAAGAGTGTCGAGCTCTGAGATCCCTGAACCGTCACTCTTATATCACTGAAGAGTGTCGAGCTCTGAGATCCCTGAACCGTCACTCTTATATCACTGAAGAGTGTCGAGCTCTGAGATCCCTGAACCGTCACTCTTATATCACTGAAGAGTGTCGAGCTCTGAGATCCCTGAACCGTCACTCTTATATCACTGAAGAGTGTCGAGCTCTGAGATCCCTGAACCGTCACTCTTATATCACTGAAGAGTGTCGAGCTCTGAGATCCCTGAACCGTCACTCTTATATCACTGAAGAGTGTCGAGCTCTGAGATCCCTGAACCGTCACTCTTATATCACTGAAGAGTGTCGAGCTCTGAGATCCCTGAACCGTCACTCTTATATCACTGAAGAGTGTCGAGCTCTGAGATCCCTGAACCGTCACTCTTATATCACTGAAGAGTGTCGAGCTCTGAGATCCCTGAACCGTCACTCTTACATCACTGAAGAGTTCCTTTTACTGAGTAGGTTTTAGATTTAGGTATAATTTTAATGTATTACACAAAAAGTTCAGTTTGTAAATATGATATTTAGTTAGAGTGAATAGTCCCTGATATACCAAAGTCTTTGGTTTTTTTTTGTTTTGCAGTTCTTATGTGCATACTTTATTTTGTTTGAAGAAATAAACAGGTTGAGTGTTTCACAATTTCACAATAGATTGCAATCAGCTGTCTCACATCTAGGACAAAAGCCAAGCCACTTCATATTGATCATTTTAATGCAAATCCTATTGAAAAAAATTGTTTTCTTCTGTAATCATTTACAAGATTCTTTTCTGAAGCAATTGATTTGAAGTAAGTTTGAAAACCTACCAAATTTGCATGGTTTTTGTCACCATTTTGTTCTCCTGTCAGATGTTTCATTCTGTTCGTGTGATTTAAGATAATTTGTGTATATAATTGCTCCAGAGATAGGATACCTGGTAGTCTATCTCTAACAGGTCCCAGGTTTTTACTCACTGGTGTGAAGGTTGATACATAGTCCATGTAATCTATTGAGTAATGAGCATATGATGTTAATGCTGTTTTACAACATATGGAAGTTTTGAAATAAAATTCTTGGCTCTGGGAAGAAATGCGCCGAAGTCTAGGCTAATACTATAAATAAAATTAAGATAACCCAATTGATGATTAAAAATCTCGAAATCATTGTACTAATGCCACTGATGTATATTTACATATATTAATCACTCATCACCGTTCATTGTAACATTAATTTTAATTATAAATGACAGTCAGAGGCTCACACATCACATTGAGGATCAAATAGAAGTAGAATCTACATTAAATTGTTTGAGGAAATATTCACATACACATTGAAACTTATAAATTTTGATATTTATTTAATAGATGTGTATTTTATTATATTCACAATATTAAAAAATGTTTATATTTCATCATATATATATTTATATTTCCATTTGAATTTTATCCTGTGCATTGTGAGTGTGTATACTAGTGAGTGTCGTGTATAAGAGTCACATGGTGTAGTGTAAACCTGTTTGGCTAGGTCACCTGATTGGCTATTTTGAATTGTTGTCATTGTTTAAGTTAGTTTTGGTGCGAGTTGGGCAGTGTGTTCAGCGCGGTCGTAACGACCGGACATGTTCTTGGGTCTTGGTACTTTCAGTCATGGTAGACCTTAGAATTTAACATAAGTACCTGTTTAAAATATTAGTTTTTGATATGATAATTGATATAAGAAAAGTAATGTTTTTAATTGGTTCAAAAGTATAATTTCTGGGATAATCGTATTTCCTTGAGTAAAAGATTTATTTTTGGACATAGCCATTGTTCTAATTTTGGCTTAATAATAACATTTCATCTTCTTCATATTTTGTAATTGAGTTTGGAAAGAAAGTGCTGTAGGAGGTCAATTTATTCCAAATAATTCTTTTACCACAGACAGAACTCATGAGATGGGAACTATATTCTACAAGAACAACTAAAATTGTAGACCAGTCACCTATCTAGCAATCCTCCAGGGTTGTGAACAAATTTCTTTTCCAACTCCACTAATGGGATTTTGTTGTAACTTGCCTGGAATGGTCCTGAGATGATGCTTCCCAGTGATATTTAAATTTTTTGACAATCACGTTGTGTGCATGGTCTGATAGAGACATTCATTATTGTGACATGAAAACAATCAAGCAGCTATATACTGGATTTCTATATATTTCTCTATTTTAAGACAACATCATCACGTTGAAAATACAGGCAAGTATTCAAACTGAAATATGGATTGTTATTTATTTGAAACTGAATACATTTCTGTATATGAAAAATTATTAACCTGTCTAGTAACATGTCAAAGACGTCCGGGGTTTGGTTCACAGAATGAATGTGAACAAGTCAGGCGTCCCACCAGCCTATGTGGATTTTTCCCTGTTGGTTTCTCCCTCTTAAATACTGGCTTGCTTACATCCGGGCTAATGAGAATGGAACATGATTGGACAATCACTAGAAAGTTTATGAGATGTATTGGTGTATTGGTGTAAAGTCTGTAAGCTGCTACACAGGAGTCTTGGAATTCTACTTCTTTGTTTGACTTATTTCTTGTAGATTTTAAAGTATACACAAAAATGTTACACTGTTTGAGAAATAAAAAGCAAACCTGTTGTGATTTAATGTAAGTAAAGCTAATGTTTGTAAATTGATCTAGCTAGATTTCCACAAATTAAAGAGTGTATGTTTGTTAATATGGTAAGATGAGGCGTACAATTTCTAAACATATCAACACCAGTAGATCCTTTTGTAAAGTTCTTGATAAAATGACACATACACTCCTTTCTTGTGTAGAATATGCCTTTAAATATAATAGTAGGTGATAAACTTAGGAATTTCACAGTAATATCACCTAAAACACTTTAGATACCCTCATCTGCCATTAATATTTTTGCCTTGAAGGAATAACTTCCATGTACCGTAATAGTTGATCATACCTGGAGCAGATTTGTAATGAGTATCGTGACAACAATCTTGTTCAATTTGGTTATTTTAAGATATAAATTAAATTATTATATACAAATCATTTTTTATACATGCTAAAATTTGGTGGTAATCAGAAATTTCATATTCCAACTTAACTTGTTTGCACAAATTAACTTTCACCACTTTTATCAGAGGCAGTTAGAAAGTGGTTTTCTCAAAATGCAGTAGCAATAGGCCTGATGAATGACTGAAATAAACAACAAAACACAGATATCGACTTCCCATGCTTTTATTTTTGTTTTTGCTGTGGTACAATGAACAGAGCGGACTACACCGTTCTGATATTAAACATAAAATGATCTGGACATATGGATATAATGAGTGTACACAATCATGCTAGGTGTTCCTCTCATGAGGATCCTAAACCTTTCTTATGATAGGGATCCCAATACACCAGAATGAAAGATAGTCAAGTTATCTCTCTGTCCACAATAGTTCGGCACTCTCAGTGTTACATCATTCCTTTAGAAATTTTCTGATACAAATCCAATTTCAAACGGTCTATCTTTTCATGAACTTATTTTTTGTCCCAATATCAGTACTAGGGGAGATAACTCTACCTCAGCTAAGCACTAAGCTCTATGAAGCACCAGGCCTCACAGTGCTCTATAGCACATTGGTTGTACACAATGGACTGTTAAACCCACACTGCTCTCTTACTTGTGTTTCCAACTACCAATGTTTTTTTTTAAACTTCTTTCTCTGAATGTCCATAAAGAAGATCGATCGCTTCATCATCGAAAACAAAATTCTATTGTTGTCAATAGAAACACTGATAAGAAAAATTCCAGGCCACCAGTACCTTTAAGTTTGACATGGTGTGAAGAACCAGTACTCTCAGTTTGTTATATGAGAGAACACACAAGTTAATGTGGACAGGGAGAGTGAGGTATGTATGCTACTTTAAAGTTAGTTATCTACATAAATTACATTGTATGTACACAAAATAACAGTCCCCATACTCTTCAGAGCTCCAGACGTACTGAGGGTCAGGAGCTCCAGACGTACTGAGGGTCAGGAGCTCCAGATGTACTGAGGGTCAGGAGCTTCAGACGTACTGAGAGGCAGGAGCTCCAGAGATACTGAGGGTCTGGAGCTCCAGATGTACTGAGAGGCAGGAGCTTCAGATATATTGAGAGAAATTATCAGAACAAGGCCAGGTTTCTTGGATCACAATATCATTTACTAAAATTATGAAAAGTTAAAAAATACCCCTCAGTTTAGAGTCAAAATGTAACTTTACAAAAAGTATAGATAAACACCTAAAATTAGGCCAATATCTAGATGTATTTTATCAACATTTTGGATATAGTCTATATTATCGTCCTGAGGCCTGCTTATGTGTACATACTAAATGACTTTGGACAGTTAAAACTTGAAACAAAAAACCCAACTGTGGTCATATTGCTTACAGCAGAGACCTTAATAACAGAAAGTAGGTCTCTACTGACAGCAAAACAAAATATCTTAACAGACCCAACCTAAATCACAGTAGTTGGTGTTATGTCTCTCAGATTAACAATTAATAATACCAATTACAAGTCTGGTTTGGACTAGCGATAAACATGGCCAGATATAAAGAAAATTGATCTTTACCTTTTGACACAGAAGTAAAAAAATGAGAAAAAGCCTGTAATATTGTACCATTTGTAGATCCTAACACTACTCTGTAAAACGTGATATTGTTGTCTGTAGATCCTAACACTGTAAAACGTGATATTGTTGTTGTCTGTAGATCCTAACACTACGCTGTAAAACCCGATATTATTGTTGTCTGTAGATCCTAACACTACTCTGTAAAACGTGATATTGTTGTCTGTAGATCCTAACACTAAGCTGTAAAACCCGATATTATTGTTGTCTGTAGATCCTAACACTACTCTGTAAAACGTGATATTGTTGTCTGTAGATCCTAACACTGTAAAACCTGATATTATTGTTGTCTGTAGATCCTAACACTACGCTGTAAAACCTGATATTATTGTTGTCTGTAGATCCTAACACTAAGCTGTAAAACCCGATATTATTGTTGTCTGTAGATCCTAACACTATGCTGTAAAACCCGATATTATTGTTGTCTGTAGATCCTAACACTGTAAAACGTGATATTATTGTTGTCTTTAGATCCTAACACTACTCTGTAAAACCTGATATTATTGTTGTCTGTAGATCCTAACACTATGCTGTAAAACCTGATATTATTGTTGTCTGTAGATCCTAACACTGTAAAACCTGATATTATTGTTGTCTGTAGATCCTAACACTATGCTGTAAAACCCGATATTGTTGTCTTTAGATCCTAAAACTATGCGGTAAACCCCGATATTATTGTGCTGTTTATGGATCCTAACACCGTAAAACCTGATATTATTGTCATCTGTATATCCTAACACTACACTGTAAAACCCGATATTGTTGTCTTTACATCCTAAAACTATGCGGTAAACCCCGATATTATTGTGCTGTTTATGGATCCTAACACCGTAAAACCTGATATTATTGTCGTCTGTATATCCTAACACTACACTGTAAAACCCGATATTGTTGTCTTTAGATCCTAAAACTATGCTGTAAAACCTGTTATTGTTGTCTTTAGATCCTAACACTATGCTGTAAACCCGATATTATTGTGTTGTTTATGGATCCTAACACCGTAAAACCTGATATTATTGTCGTCTGTAGATCCTAACACTATACTGTAAAACCAGATTTTACTATAATGTTTTCAGATCAAAGCGCTACACTGTAAACATGATTTAGACAGTCTGTAGCCCTGAGTTAACCTGATAGAAGAGTAGTGGCTGTGTCATAGAAGTCGTACAACAAACCCCACACAAATTTGAGCGGATTTTTTTCATATAAAGTATAAAACACGAGGACAACAACCCCATAACACTGCTACACATACATCAAGTTTCTATCAGCTTCAGCTGCTCACAGTAAATCCTCAAATAATTCTCAAAGTAGAAAATCAGTACAATGTCTAACCCTCCTAATGAAAATATGAGCTGTAAGCGACTAGCTACTCAGACCTCTATCACAGTTCCAGGATAGCTGTAATATTCATGTTAGTTGGAAAAATCTGTTGTTACAAGTTGTACTTGATCATCAACAATTTCAGTAAAAAATCAAAATGTTTAATATGATGAGAACATCTGAGCATCCTTATACAAAATTGAAGATTGTAGCAGACCAGAGAGGTTGTTGTAGTATGAGATAATGATGACTACAAGAAGAATTCTGATGAGCCTTTCCACCTCTCGGTGTCACTGAATGTGTATATGTACACATGGTGGATGTGTTCTGACACAGAAAAGTCTTGGCTGTCACTGTATCACAGAAAAAATGAGATCAAAACAGTGCTTGGACTAAATCAGTAGCATTTTTCATAGTTCTCAAAACGTCTTATCAAAACAATGTAAAATATCATCATTCTACGTTCTAAATACCAGAAAATGGATTAAAAGTTAAAACAGAATCAGGTTGTGAACTTCACAGATGGGTGTGTAGCCCGAATGTCAAAGCTTCACTCTATATTGATATATAAGATAGATAATCTTTACATGGATCAACTGATAACAACATGGCACCTAGATAATACTATGGCACTCAAACTTTATTTTGTACATTTGTTTAGGAATGTCCCTTCTCAAAGCACTTGAACAAAAGAACATTTTCTGTAATACCTCTGCATGTCATCTTAGTGACAGATGAGAAAATGACCTTAGGTCTTAACTGTGTCAGCCCAGACTTTTCTAGGTCTCATATTTACATCAATTTCCAGTTATATACATAGAATAGAACACATCTGGATACAGAACTCGGTAACCCTGGGATACATTTCTATCTTACAATGACAACAGGCGACGACACAGATCACCGACGCTTCACACAAACCATGTAGGACGACCATGAAACTGATGACAAAGCCACGATACGAAACAGCTCAGAATGATGAACCACACCAATGAGACTCCTGTCCCTAAGTTGACATGACAACACAAGGGTTCTCATGTAACCATGACGATGTATGACGACGGGATAACTAACTACACTCATTGACTCCCTATATACAACAACACATCTTCCTAGCAGTGATGAGTAACCATCTACCAAACCCAATAAATCTACAATACCCCCTGTATCAAAATATACGCATTGCAGCAGCCATGTGTGGCATAACGAATGTTCTCACATCTTAAAAAACCCTTTTTTTTTACACAACATTATACAAATAAAACAAAACGTCAACTTGATGCTATAGACATATGATGACGGTGAATGTTTGCTTACTAGACAACATAACTCATTGTCAAAATTTGGTGAAAAAAATGTATAAATAATCAATTTCTACTTAGTTGGTAATACTTGTCTTTCCTTGGACATCAATGATAATAATAATAATATATGACTTTCAACAACTGTGACATTTATAATTAAATGAAAAATAATTCATTCATTTGAAAACATTCTAGTCCAATTCTGTGCATGATCTCATATAAAATCATTTCCATGTCATTATATTCACATTTAAATCTATCATTCACACTCCCATATATAAAATCAATAAAAATCTTCTAACACCACTCAATATACAACTTAACATTTATTAATAGTTTTGTTGACTCAATCACACTCATGAACCCGAAATTCAGGGCATAATAACGTCATCATATACTCACAAACTGTAACTGAGGGCAAACAAGTTTTACAGCAACACTCTTTTTAAGACTCCCATCACAATGGAGTTAATCATTTATATTGTCCCTTAAAATCAACAGCACATTTGTGCAGCCCTCTGGAGTCAACAGCACAATTGTGCTACCCCCTTGAGTCAGCAACACATTGGTACTGCCCCCTAGAGTCAACAGCACATTTGCACTGCCCCCTAGAGTCAACAGCACATTGGCACTGCCCCTTAGAGTCAACAGCACACTGATGCTGCCCCCTAAACTCAACTCACTAGTGTTGTGTTTAAAAGCAAAGCCACATAAGTGCTGTTCCCTCAAAGTAACAGTATAAGTGATGCCCCCTAGTGATGGCAGTTTCCTAGCGTTTGACATCTCTTGCTTACACAGCCTCACTATATATAATAAATACATCATGAGCATTGCTTCAGAATTGATATAACTTCTGATACATAAACCATTCATTTATATTAGTATTAGTACAATATCTACAGGGACAAAGGCTGAACCACCAGACCAACAACAGCAATTCTCATAACAGATTGTTTGATCCGGTGGACAGCAATGATCACACAATATATATATAATCATCATCATCATCATCATCATCATCATCATCATCATCATCATCATCATCATCATCATCATCATCATCATCATATCATCATCATCATCATCCAAATCATGAGAACAAACACCATTAGAAAGTCTTCCTCTCCCCTATGATGATATGACTCTACATAATAGAAGTGCCAACCAAAGCTCAGAGCTTCCCAAGTTGTAATGATTAACAACAGATACAAACATCTTCCAGAAATCAACATCAAAACATAAGTGTGTTGTAAGGTTACAAAAAATAACATTTGTAAAATTTACAAACTCACTGATACAAGTTTACAAATTAACCAGTATACAAATCATTAATTTACATGTTAACTAATGTACAAATTACAAGTTTATACGTTACCCAACATACAAAGTATTGATGTACACGTCAACCAATGTGAATGAATAAGTTTACAAGTAAACCAGCAAATAAGAATTCAAAGTTTACACCTGCACCACAACAGTGGTCTCCTTTGAAGTAGCATTCAAAGTCTAAGTTTAAATTGCGAACACCAGCTGTAAGTTAACAAACTAGTCAGCAAACTACAGCTGTAAGTTAAATTCACCAGCAAACTACTGCTGAAAGTTAAATTCACCAGCAAACTACAGGTGTAAGTTAAATTCACCAGCAAACTACAGCTGTAAGTTAGCAAATTTACCAGCAAACTACAGCTGTAAGTTAAATTCACCAGCAAACTACAGCTGTAAGTTAGCAAATTTACCAGCAAACTACAGCTGTAAGTTAAATTCACCAGCAAACTACAGCTGTAAGTTAGCAAATTTACCAGCAAACTACAGCTGTAAGTTAACAAGTTTACCACCAAAAGTACAGCTGTAAGTTAACAAGTTCACACCAAACTATAGCTGAAAGTTAACAAGTTTACCAGCAAACTATAGCGGTAAGTTAACAAGTTTACCAGTAAACTATAGCTGAAAGTTAACAAGTTTACCACCAAAAGTACAGCTGTAAGTTAACAAGTTCACACCAAACTATAGCTGAAAGTTAACAAGTTTACCAGCAAAAGTACAGCTGTAAGTTAACAAGTTCACACCAAACTATAGCTGAAAGTTAACAAGTTTACCAGCAAACTATAGCGGTAAGTTTACCAGTAAAATATAGCTGTAAGTTAACAAGTTTACCAGCAAACTATAGCAGTAAGTTAACAAGTTTACCAGCAAACTATAATGGTAAGTTAACAAGTTTACCAGCAAAATATAGCATTAAGTTAACAAGTTTACCAGTAAACTACTGCTGAAAGTTAATTTCACCAGCAAACTACAGCTTTAAGTTAACAAATTTACTAGCTGAGAACCCAACTCCCGTTAATTAGCAGGTAAACCAGCAAATGTTTCATATAGGTCTTAAAACCAACAGTGACAAGTTTATGTCCATGTGATTCTGGTACAAACGATAATAATCCTGGAGACAGCAGTGTTTTAAAAGTCTATGAAGCTATGAGTTATGGTATGGGCAAATGCAATTATGATAGATAGTTGACAAGGTAATTTCTGCCACAACGGCAGCTTCACACTGAGAACCCAAATCACCACTCTCATCATCAATTTCTACATGTTAATACAGCTATATACAGAGTTGATGAGATGGTGATGCTAAAAGTACAGTCAGCAACTTCTGCTAAAATATATAATAAAACTCCCTCTAAAACCATTAAACCTTTTCCATTCAACACATTCTCAGGGAATCTTACATACAGGATGTATTTGAAAGTTTCTAATTAATTTCATGTCAAATATTTTAATTTGAGAACTACACTAACCCTTTAACAGTTACTGTAATAAACAATCTCTAAAACTTAATATTTTAGCAAAGTTGCGTTTTGTGCTGTTAGCTGTTCCTCCTGAAAAGGAAACATCACAGACTGTAAACAGCCTCCAGCAGTATAAGATAGTAATCCAGGATGTGGTGCCACGACCAGGATTAGCCAATAACGACCAGGGATGACGGGTGGCATTTGATGTGTGATGGAACATATAAGTCATGATCACTGAGCTTGCTGGAATCCTGAAATATATATAAAAATCAGACGTAAATACAAGATATATTTGATGAACAAATTGAATACATGGTCAGTGTGACTGAGAACGGTAAACATGGTCAGTGTGTCTGAGAACTGTAGACATGGTCAGTGTCTGAGCACTGTAGATATGGTCAGTGTGACTGAGAACTGTAGACATGGTCAGTGTGACTGAGAACTGTAGACATGGTCAGTGTGACTGAGAACTGTAGACATGGTCAGTGTGACTGAGAACTGTAGACATGGTCAGTGTGACTTGGTCAGTGTGACTGAGAACTGTAGACATGGTCAGCAGGTATAAATATATTACAGATTACAAGCATACTGTCTATTGCTGAAGCATTGTTTGTGTACTTCATAAGTGTCACCTTCCTGCCACAAAAAGCTATGTTACACTGTTATGATTTATAATGATGGTGCTGTTTGGTGTTCATTTGGAAAAAAAAGGAAAGTAGACAATATCTTTTAACTGATTTCAATATCAACGTATGCAATAAGTTTGACAATCTGAAGTTTCACCACCTATGTGTAATCATTTGTAATTCAGTGTGTGAGGTTTCTCAAAATACTGTAAGGAATGAAACTGCTAAAGTGCTGACAATAATTTTTCGAAAAATAATAGGTGACCTTGACCCAACAACCTGGAATCTCAATTTGGTCCAAGATATTTTGTAGCTGAAAAACTTTATCACAGATGGACAGACCGACAGATGGTTGTGGACTGATGGAGAGGAACACTATAGTGGAACATTAGGAGTCTAATTAGTAGAATGATATTCAATGTACAACTACAATAACCTTAGATTAGATATACAAACAAGAGATCCCAGGAGGATCTTGGTGCCCACTGATGTTTCATCTTCATTTGATCTTGGAAAGTTGGATCTTTTGCCTTTTTAATTATTCTTTCCTCTTATTCGCTCTTAATTACATGAAAATTCCTCTCAAGAAATAGCAATAATAATCTTCACCTATCAAATATTAGATTCATCCTGTACTTCTCAAGAAATGATAATAAAAATTTTCAATGTCAAAAACCCAAGGTAGCTCCTGTCGGCCAGTTGGTTTGTTTTATTTTCTTATATAAAGTTTTCTATCCATTGATAGTATTTAATACCAATGTAGATTTTATGATATCTGGGTGTTGAGAAGAAAGATTTTTTAATTTGAGTTGATAACACTTTTACTGCCATTGCCCATCAGCCCTGGGGGGCAGTCAGGGACAATATGTACATAACATCAAACTGTCATCCTATACTAACAATTCTAATTAAGTTTGAACCATTTCCAAAAGAAAATAATCAAATAATGCTAAAAAATGTTATTCTCCAATAAAAATTGTAGTAAATTTATCCATGAGGGGTAATTACCCTTGGGTAATGAAATTTAGAATTTTGGTAAAGAACATTAAAACTTTCCATCCTTAAAGAGTATTTGATTCTACCATACTTGGGTTTTGATCAAAATATTTTGGAAATTTAAATAAATTTAACCCCTTTTTGGGCCTGCCCCTCAGGATACCTTATAATTCACAAGTTTTGTTCACCTTAGGCCATGAAAATTTCTGAAAATTTTATTAAAATTTGTTGAAGGTTTCCAGAAGAAGTCAAAACTGTTAAAAAAATTATGACACACACAGCAGTGATTGATTGCAATAGGACATAACATAATTGCATAAGACATTTTGTTCAAGTGACATCAATAGTGATAAGAAAGTATTACTGTCAAAATCCTAGATGGCCGTCTGTTGGTCATGTTGTTTTTCTGATCAGTCAAAAAAAAATTGACAATGGACAACTAGGGACCACAGGAAACATGCATATACAGCTTGAAAAAAAAAAAGAGACAACAAGAATTGTTTAAGGACTGATGGATAGACGAATTACAGACCCAGGGTGATTTGAATAGTCCCACATCTGACAATTGAGGGCTAAAATCAAATGACGCTGGTGTAAATATTTCATGCTTTGAGACTTTTTTATATCATAAGAGGTAAGACAGCCAATGTACAAAGGTTTGCAGGGAGTTATTATGTTTTTCTAAGAAAGGAATTGGCGAGTACAACACAATACCTCTTTTAGCAACAAAATGAAAACATGAGCACTTTCAAGGACATGATGACAAGAGGTCACCAGTTACTGTATCACCTACTTTTATCTAACTCTTCTATCCACCCTTTGTTCTCCCATCATTCTGCAGCAGAAACAAAAGAAAAACAAAATAAATTAAAATCACAAATGCAACCAGCAACACAATACACAATTCATGCCTAGTTCTTATACGTTTTTTATCAGTAGTATACAGATTTTTGGTTATGAAGAATAATTTGGAATGAACCATTTAAAAGTTTGAATATTTCTGGAATATGTGTAAATAAGGATTTTGGTGAAGACACAAAGAATCACTGTTGATTAGATATCAGGAAGTTGACAGGTTACTGGTGCTCTGTGGTAATTAAGAAAAGAAACTTATAATGTTTGAAAATCAAAACTCATGTATAACTATTGAAAAGAAAAACTCAAAAGAATAAGGTGTGTTGGTGCAACATATTATGCCCTGGTGACAACATTAAGAAGTACAGAGCTTTTTGTGTGTTTGGTTTTTAAAGAGGGTACTCCCGACACATAGTGTTAGGTATTGCTGGTTCATCGATGACATTGATAAATAGCAGAGTGCCATAAAAAAAAAAAAAAAAAAACACATCAATTTATTAAATTTCAGTTTAATATCCACACAATGACTAATTAAATCCATCAAAGTTAACTGATCTAAGAATTTCTTTTAAATTCTACAGCCTTATCACTCTTACGAAATATGAGTAAATATATATAACAAAATATGCATAAGTCAAACAATACAAAATTTGACCTTGACCTCTGACCCAGACTCATGGTCAGTTGTCCCCATGTTTAATTCTGACCAACTCTGCTTCATAATCTTAAAGCAAATAATATCTCTTGTAAGAACACATTGAATTGTCATGGCAACCAAAACTTCAGAAAATAAAGTTCTCCTGCCAATCTACATCTGGTCCTTTATATTGATATGAACTTTTATTGGAACAGGGACACTAGTGTAGGAGGAGTTTTCTGTACAGTATATTTAGACAACAGACAGGAAGATTCCAGTATACTAGTTCTGGGGTGTATTAATATAAGCTGACTAGTATCTGCCCACAAAACAACTACATACACATTTTAGTATCATAGTATTATAATATCTCTAGCCATCAATTTAGAGCAGATGAGCAGAAATCAGCTGATGACAGAGAGAGGTAATGACGGACAAGGGGAGATAAACCAGTCACAGTGGCAATACTAATACTGTTTTTGATGAAATCTGTTCAAACCATCGAAACAGTCTGTCCTACAATTTACATTTAAACAATATTATAGATGTAAGCCAACCAGTTGTTATATTTCCGATAAAATCAAAATTATCAAACATATTACACATACCATACACACTGTGTCAGTACCTGTATTTGTTGGGCTTATCACTCTTTGAACAGTAAATCAACATATACACTCTGTTATGTAATAATATAAGTTAACATTTAAAAAAACATATATAACATACATAGGAATATCTTGTGTGAAGCAATATACACCATATTGTACTCTAATGATTAAAGATATGGAGATAAAACAGGAAATTGTCCAACCAAAATGCCACTGATAAAACACAATTTCATGTGTTTGTAATAAAGTCTACTAGTTTGAACATAATTTGAGAACTGAATGAGAAGAACATCTCTCTAGATAACAAGGAACCACTAACTCAAATATATATTCTAAGGAGTCATAATGACATATTAGTGCCTAATGTATTGATGATCAATAAGGCCAAGTTATAAGAGATTGGTGAGAAACTGAAAGAGGAGATATCTGGACAAGACAAAAAAAATACACAATAACAAACAAAACAAAAAAATGTGGAATAAAATTATATAAGTTCATATGGTTACAAAACCTGTATTTCAAATAAATTAATTGAAAACTGAAAGAGGAGATCTCTGGACAAGATGAAGATTATAACACAGGCAAGAATGTTATATTTGCGTATCCCTATATAACATAATTGACAGTTTTATGGATAAAAAAACAATTTCTGCATACATAAGAAGTTAGCGCATAATTATATAGTGTTATGGGTGTAACAATTATACACATCTGTAAAGTGTTATGGGTGTATTGTTTAGCACACCTGTAAAGTGTTATGAGTGTAGAGTTTCACACACCAGTAAAGAGTTATGAATGTTCAATTTCACACACCAGTATAGTGTTATGAGTGTAAAGTTTTACACACCAGTAAAGAGTTATGAATGTTCAATTTGTATATACCTGTAAAGAGTTATGAATGTTCAATTTCACACACCTGTATAGTGTTATTAGTGTAAAGTTTTACACACCAGTAAAGTGTTATGAATGTTCAATTTTTCCACACCTGTATAGTGTTATTAGTGTAAAGTTTTACACACCAGTAAAGAGTTATGAATGTTCAATTTCACACACCTGTATAGTGTTATGAGTGTAAAGTTTTACACACCAGTAAAGAGTTATGAATGTTCAATTTGTATATACCTGTAAAGAGTTATGAATGTTCAATTTTTCCACACCTGTATAGTGTTATTAGTGTAAAGTTTTACACACCAGTAAAGTGTTATGAATGTTCAATTTTTCCACACCTGTATAGTGTTATTAGTGTAAAGTTTTACACACCAGTAAAGTGTTATGAATGTTCAATTTTTCCACACCTGTATAGTGTTATTAGTGTAAAGTTTTACACACCAGTAAAGAGTTATGAATGTTCAATTTCACACACCTGTATAGTGTTATGAGTGTAAAGTTTTACACACCAGTAAAGAGTTATGAATGTTCAATTTTTCCACACCTGTATAGTGTTATTAGTGTAAAGTTTTACACACCAGTAAAGTGTTATGAATGTTCAATTTTTCCACACCTGTATAGTGTTATTAGTGTAAAGTTTTAAACACCAGTAAAGTGTTATGAATGTTCAATTTCACACACCTGTATAGTGTTATGAGTGTAAAGTTTTACACACCAGTAAAGAGTTATGAATGTTCAATTTGTATATACCTGTAAAGAGTTATGAATGTTCAATTTCACACACCTGTATAGTGTTATTAGTGTAAAGTTTTACACACCAGTAAAGTGTTATGAATGTTCAATTTTTCCACACCTGTATAGTGTTATTAGTGTAAAGTTTTAAACACCAGTAAAGTGTTATGAATGTTCAATTTCACACACCTGTATAGTGTTATGAGTGTAAAGTTTTACACACCAGTAAAGAGTTATGAATGTTCAATTTGTATATACCTGTAAAGTGTTATGAATGTTCAATTTTTACACACCTGTATAGTGTTATTAGTGTAAAGTTTTACATACCTGTAAAGAGTTATGAATGTTAAATTTTTACACACCTGTATAGTGTTATTAGTGTAAAGTTTTACATACCTGTAAAGAGTTATGAATGTTCAATTTTTACTCACCAGTAGAGTTATGAGTGTTTAATTTCACACACCTATACATTGTTATTAGTGTTAAAGGTTTTTGAGAGTATTGGATAGCCAAAATAATATACTGACATGCAATTCACACTGGTTATAAAAGGCACACTCTGATAGCAAGGTAGGTTCCTACAGTTATCTACACAGGTTGCATTTGTTCTGTTTTTGCTGATGAAATGAAGTCCATTGTCTACTGTACATTCAGTAAAACACTCGAACACGAGACAGTGTACCGTTTCTATCATTGGCACAGTGTATCGATGTAAAGAATAAAAGTTTTACAAAGGTACAAAGAGATCATGCAAAATGTAGATATCAATTACATATGATAAATAAACTTTGTTTGATTTTGATTCAGTAAAAATAAAAAGGTCCAAAGAGAAAAATCACTAAAAATAAAGAAAAAAAAATAAAATGAAAAAATTAAAAAAAAAAAAAAAAAAAACAACTTTAGTGCAGGAGTTGAAAATACAGACAAAAAAAATTTTTAAATACAGACAAAATATCGGAAAAGTTGGCCATATAAGTCCAACTCACCCTGGTCTCGGTGCGCGGTCTCGTCAAGGAGCGGACTTGAGATAATTAAGGGCCATCATTCCACCGACACCTGAGAGATAGGGAAATACTACCTAAAGCCTTCTGTCAACATGTCCTCACATCAACGTGATGTCAACATATCCTCACATCAATGTGGTGATGTCAACATGTCCTAACATCAACATGTCCTCACATCAATGTGTTGATGTCAACATGTCCTCACATCAATGTGATGTCAACATATCCTCAGATCAACGTGCTGATGTCAACATGTCCTCACATCAATGTATTGATGTCAACATGTCCTCACATCAATGTGTTGATGTCAACATGTCCTCACATTAATGTGATGTCAACATATCCTCAGATTAACGTGTTGATGTCAACATGTCCTCACATCAACATGCTGATGTCAACAAGTCCTCACATCAACATGCTGATGTCAACATGCCCTCACATTAACGTAGTGATGTCAACATATCCTCAGATCAACGTGTTGATGTCAACATGTCCTCACATCAATGTGATGGCAACATATTCTCACATCAACGTGCTGATGTCAACATGTCCTCACATCAGCATGGTGATGTCAACATGTCCTCACATTAACATAGTGATGTCAACATATTCTCAGATCAACGTGTTGATGTCAACATGTCCTCACATCAATGTGATGGCAACATATTCTCACATCAACGTGCTGATGTCAACATGCCCTCACATTAACGTAGTGATGTCAACATATCCTCAGATCAACGTGTTGATGTCAACATGTCCTCACATCAATGTGATGGCAACATATTCTCACATCAACGTGCTGATGTCAACATGTCCTCACATCAGCATGGTGATGTCAACATGTCCTCACATTAACATAGTGATGTCAACATATTCTCAGATCAACGTGTTGATGTCAACATGTCCTCACATCAATGTGATGGCAACATATTCTCACATCAACGTGCTGATGTCAACATGTCCTCACATCAGCATGGTGATGTCAACATGTCCTTACACCAAAACGGTGACGTCAATATGTTGTCATATCAACATGGAGATGTCAACATGTCCTCACATCAAAATGGTGATGTCAACATGTTGTCACAACATGATGACGTCAACAAAACCTAACAACAAAATGGCAATGTGATTGAGTAAATTTCACATTTATGTCAACACAACATCAACATATTGACAACTCAACAGCATCAGTAGTGTTAACATACACAACCTGTAGTTTACAACCTGTTAGTTTACAAGTTGTCGCCAAATATCAACATTATCACTCCAGTGTATATCAATGTATACATTTGGAACATTTTCAAACACTTACTATTGATTATTTGAGAGACTGCAACAATGATTCTTGTTATAGTAAGCATATAACCACCAGGTAAGAAAGGCATCTTTTATCATAAAAAGAATCCAAATATATTCTTGACTTAAATTTTTTTTCATAAAAAAATACAATGTCAATAGAATTGTATAAAAGATAATGCCCATAGAATTTTATAAAAGATAACTCCCATAGAATTGTATAAAAGATAATGCCCATAGAATTGTATAAAAGATAACTCCCATAGAATTTTATAAAAGACAATGTCCATAGAATTGTATAAAAGATAATGCCCATAGAATTTTATAAAAGATAACTCCCATAGAATTGTATAAAAGATAATGCCCATAGAATTGTATAAAAGATAACTCCCATAGAATTTTATAAAAGACAATGTCCATAGAATTGTATAAAAGATAATGCCCATAGAATTTTATAAAAGATAACTCCCATGGAATTTTATAAAAGACAATGTCCATAGAATTTTATAAAAGACAATGCCCATAGACTTTAAAAAAAGATAATATCCATAGATTTTTTAAAAAGATAATGACCATAGAATTTTATAATAAAAGACAATGCACAGAATGTTTTTTAGAAGACAATGTCCATAGAGTTATTTTTTATCTACGACTATCTTTAGCTAACCCATCAAAAATGCTGATTTCTTGACCCCCTCTTCCCAAATATTTAAAGATTTGTAACTAAAAAAATATCTTGCAAAAACCAGTCTTTGAAGATCTGATCTTCAATAATATCTACCACACAATAAAAAATGCTTTCTGCTTAAATGTTCCAAAAATATTGAAGAGCTGTGAATTTTGTTCATTTCATCAACAACTTGAACCAAGGTAACACATACCTGTGAGAGGTCAGGAAGGATTTAGTTTGGAAAAGACAAAAACATCAATTAATTAAACAAAAAGCACATAAAAACACAAAACAACTGGTTAAAAATGATGCAGGAACTAAAATGACCAAACACACTCAGGGGTTTCATAGCTCAAAGCCATCACATCACAGTATTGAATGAAAGACAAACACACCCAGGGGTTTCACAGATCAAATACACCCAGGGTTTTCGAAACTCAAACACATCCAGAGGTTTCACAGCTGAAACACAACCAGAGGTTTCACAGCTGAAACACACCAAGGGGTTTCTCAGCTGAAACACACCCAGGGGTTTCACAGCTCAAAGAAATCACATCACAGTGGTAGAGGAAAGACAAACAAAAATCACTTCTGTTATAGTGTATTAAAGGGAAAAAGGAAAAGAAGATTATTTACTTAAATCAGATAAAACATTGCACCTTAACTTGCAAGACAAGAAAAGTATATTCATAACATAATCAAGATTTTTCATGCAGCAACTATTAAAAAGCAACATTTGATATGTTATTTGTGAGAATTAAATTTTGAGGAGAGTACAAAACACAAACGATTTGTCTTGCTAGTGCTTTTTGTACTGCATTACTGAACCAATGAACTGAAAACTCGACGGTGGTATCCAACACTATCATACACCAGCTGCTTACAAAAAGCAAAAACATTCTGAAGGGTGACACCAAACCACTGTTGGAGTGGGCAATCACCCTGTCCTACAAGTTAGTGATACACAAACCACATATATATTACCCAGCATGCACATGTCCCTTCCCACAATGCTAAGCATCCATCTTATCTGTATTTAATTTTCATGAAATACACAAGAAGGTGTCTTCCCCTATGTTTTTGTAGGTACATTTAATCAATAATCTCTGTGTAGTCTAGCAAATGTTTATCTTTGTATATTTTTTTCCAATTAGTTATAAGCATACAACTCCCACCCTTATCCTCTATCTACCAGTATTCTTTTATGAAATCGGATATTTTAATCTACCTTCACTGGTTTAATTCAGCAACATCATCAGCAACTATATAATTTCATTATTCTTGGAAAATGAATCAAGTTTATATTGAAAACCATCATCTCTCATGAAATTACCTGGCAAAAAGAATCACATGTAAAAATTGTATGTAAGAAACACATGTATGTCATTAAGTTTTGGAAATAGTGACATTTGATTGTAATTTGTAAACAGTTTTTGTGCTGCAGTGATAATTAGGTTATACTCTATATGAAGGGTAATACAGATTCAACAGGCATTCTGGCAGATATCTCCCCTGCATTTAAACAAAGAAATAAGTCAAAATATTACAAAATTTTTTCTACAACAACTCTGTTCTATCGTTTTGTTGTATCTTATGTTATAATGCAAGGGAGATAACTAGGTTATGCCCCACCACACACGGACATATACATATCAAAATAATAAATCTATAGACCTGTTTCCACGCCTTCATCTGAAATTCATACATAAACTCTCTTTAAAGCATTATATTACATACATCTGTTGATAATGACAGAACATCAATCACACAGGGACCTACTTATTTTGGCTAGATACAATGGCAACTACAACAAGGACACTAATTCCTCCTCTCTCCTATCAGATATCAAAGTTTCTGACCTATCAACCTTTGAGTGAGATCAAATACATACTAGTTTCTAACCTATCAAAAGTCCATCCACATGTTAAACAAGTGAGTACTGCTCAATAATATATTGTAATGTATCACTGATAATTCATTTTAATTATCAGTGATACAATTCGATATATTATTGAGCAGTACTCACTTGTTGAAATGAAAATATGGATTTTCTATGCAAAACAGTACAAAAAAAAGAAGAGTAAAACTTGCTATATCGTAAAGCCTTCCAACTTACACAGAAAAATGATGTATGGAACCTTCAGACAAGACTAATTACCAAAAAGTGGAACAAAGGGCAATAATCCTCAAACATGTTTCATCCAAATTCCAGTAAGGAAAAAAGGTTGACAAAGATTGGTCGAACAAGGAAGGAAGAAGTTTCTAGAAAAGATTTGAAAATCTCTTGTGAAAAAGCTAAGCTCTAGTGTATTAAATATGCTCTAGTATGCTAAAACAATTCCATGAATGATACGAAGAAAAAGCTGAGCACCAAGGATCATTATAGGCCCCTCAGAAAAAATTCCTCCTCACAGATAGCAAGTAAAAAATCATGCAAAATGAAAAAGAAAAAAAAAGAAAAAATACAAAAAGTAAAAATATGATTAATATAAAGGAAGAAGGAGAAATGAAAGAGAACAAGATATTGATGGTAGAGAAAAATGACAACAGTGTCACATGTTTAAAGCCTGTGTACTCCAGGAGTGCTTTCTGAACCACTGCTGGAGTTGGTCATTAGACAGGTTTCACTGTAGCTTAATGATAACCAGGCCGTGACCAGTACACAATCTATATTATGTACCTTGCTGCATTGGGTATCCCATCATGCCAGGTTGCTGGCCGTTGAATTGCTGCTGCTGGCCTGGCTGCATTTGTACCTGTCCCCACTGTTGGACAGCTGTCGGTACATTCATACTGTAACCATAGCAACCAATAAAAAACATATTTTAATCATAGTAACCAACATATATCATACTATAACCATAGCAACCAATACAATCCCCATTACAACCCATACAAAGGTCACAACTGATTTCTTACATTAATCAATTAATCACTTAGAAATATGTTTAAGCAGGTACCCTTTAAATTTTTGAGACCTTGACCTTAAATATATTTAAGATTTCAGTAAACTGTGATTATGAGTTATGATCTGGCCTCAGCTGTTCTACAGTCTCTTGACTATCTGTGCTTTACCTGTATGTCTGGTAGTTGTAGCCTGCAGGCCACTGGTTGATGCCCCCAGCCTGCATGTAGCTGCCCTGTGCCATGTTCTGGTAGGCTCCGGGGAAGTAGTAGCCCATGTTGAAATAGGGGGAGTAAGAGGAGGGCGAGCTTGTGGAATACTGTTGCTGCGGACTCTGCTGGGCGGGACTGTTCTGTGTGGGCTGTGGTGACAAGTAATATAAAATCATTCTTTGATAATTACAATAATAAACATTCTCAAATTTTAATCCAAGGGTAGCATTATACTTCAAACAGTTTAGAACTAGAAAATGTTTAGCAAAATCAATGTATAACAGATCTGCAGAAAAAAGTTTTTTTTTTTTTTAAGTTGTCAGGTCAAAGTCTGGGTACATCTGTTCTATTCTCTTAACTGGTACTTAGAAGCCAGAAAATAGGGTCTGACAACAACTTAAATCATATCCCTGAAATTCAGCTGTCATCAAAGCAATTCCTCACACCATCCCCCATCATGACAACCAATAACTTGTATATTCCTCACACCATCCCCCATCATGACAGCCAATAACCAGTATATTCCTCACACCACCCAACATCATGGCAGCATGTCTTGCAGATTCTGGAAGGATCTTTATTTCCTAATAGCTGGACATCACAGTTAAAAATTACATTTATATCACTTCTGAAGGAAATCAAATCCTTTGAGAGAAATGGCCTTAAATTAAATGGAAGAAGACAATATTTACCAGGGGTGTGGCTGTGCCTCCACTACTATTCTGACTAACATCAGTGTGAGGAGAAGAGATGAATATTTACCAGGGGTGTGGCTGTGCCTCCACTACTATTCTGACTAACATCAGTGTGAGGAGAAGAGATGAATATTTACCAGGGGTGTGGCTGTGCCTCCACTACTATTCTGACTAGGGTCGTTGGACTCCTTCCCCCAGGAACACTTCACTTGCTGGTCATTTACCATTGTACCATGTACTGAGCATATCGCCTGAGCAGCTGCTTCTTTTGTGGAAAATCTGAAGATATAAAGTTTCTGATACTGATTCCCGTTAAATACAAATTTGAAGTTGACAGTTATCATAAAATGCATATATCACTGTTTAACATTTTTATTGAGTTTCTTTAGCACATCTTACAGCAATATGAAATCCATTTGTATGTCTGTAAATAACAGAACAACCTGATCTAAACAGGTGAGATCTTGCATCACACAGATCATCTTTTAACACAGATCTAAGATAATAGCAAAGTTTCAAAGGCATTTACTGACTGCCATTGTGATTCAAAGCTAATATCAGCACAACTTATAATCAAGGTATCATAATTTCATATCAGATTACACTACTGGGACCAATTTTTCCCTTACAGATGAATAAATTAATCAATTTCAAATTTTTAAAATTTATTTAATTAAAATCTAATGAAAGGACAATAAAAGTGATTGGAGACAAGTTGTTACCTGATGAAAGCATAGCCTTTATCTTTAAATACTCGAACCTCTTGTATAGTGCCATAGCTGCTGAACGTTTGACGTATAAGATCTTCTGCAAACCAAAAATCTTAATTACAAATCAGAAACATCAGTGTTGTTTCTTCTTATTTAAAGGTTTATTAACATACTTTGATAGAAAAACAACAAGTATAAGTATTCACCAATAACAGTCACCATTCCCCATAACACATACAAACAGAGTAATCATTCCCCATATTTCCCATAACACATACAAACAGAGTAATCATTCCCCATAACACATACAAACAGAGTAATCATTCCCCATAACACATACAAACAGAGTAATCATTCCCCATATTTCCCATAACACATACAAACAGAGTAATCATTCCCCATAACACATACAAACAGAGTAATCATTCCCCATATTTCCCATAACACATACAAACAGAGTAATCATTCCCCATAACACATACAGAGTAAGCATTCCCCATAACACATACAAACAGAGTAATCGGGAAAAGCAAATCTTAATATTTAAGCACACAACACACATTATATCCCTTATGGCCCCACTCCTTTGTCCTTAGCAGGTCAGCCAAACAATTTATGCTTCATACCAAATAGGGGCAGAATCTTGTCATTCCTACAAAGGAAGAATTTTAACTAATATGCTCTATTTCTCCTCGAATGGGTCAAGCCCCTCCTATCCCAAGGGGCCTAGACTTATTAAAAAATTGATTTCAATTTACTTAAGGATGTGTTAGATCAAGTTTGGGTAAAATTACATCATTTCTACAGGAGGAGGAAGGCTTTCAATAATTTGCTCTATTTCCCAAATTTTGGCCCTGGGGGCTGAGACCCACCAATTATGCAACAATGAACCCCAAAGAATACTTCCAACAGCAGGAGTAATCAAAAACAAAAAAATAAAAAAATTCCCCCCTTTTTGGGCCTCATACATCTGGTTCCTGGGGTCCAAGCCCTACCATATAAACAAAATTTGTTCCCTTTTCCACAAAGATGCTTCAAAATTGGTCAAAATCAACTTAGCTGGTCATGACTAGTAATAATTTGCAGAAAAAGTTGATGGATAGATGCTGGAGGCCATGCCATGGCTCATCACACCTTTGGACCAGATGAGCTAACAAGTCTTACTGTTCATTCTTCATAAAACCATTTACAGAGAGCAGCAATGATTCTAAAGCTATGGATATGATCACCCTCAATATATTATCCACCGTGACAACATTTTGTAACTGCATAAACCACAGTTTGTATTTTAAGTCAATATATTGTCTCAGATCAGCATAATATTATATAGAGTACAGCAGAAAAACATCTCAGTAAGACTAAGAACCAATCATGTCCTTATATGAACGGTATTGCAAATATCTGTAGATGGACAGAAGTAGGCACAGCATAGCCTGTAGAACACAAGCCTCCACTTGAGAAAATCTAACACGGAAGCGCAGCAGACATAAAAATTCATAATGTGTACGGAAAATATCAAATAACTGTATCATTACATGTTTGGAACACAACCAATATAACAGGGAACTGGAGACCTTCTGCCTCGTCCAACGACTCACATAACGCCCTTACTTCATTGAATATAATGTGTCAAACGGTACAAATTATGTAGATTTCAAAAACAATTTAAGGTGCTGTCTAGGAGTGTTAGCTTGTATTTAACATAGAATTGTCTATCTCGGTTAACACAATCTCTTCTCAGCCAGGAGTTTTTCATTGCATCCAGGCATTATAAGAATAATGGTATAGACCTAAGGGAGGACAATCTACTTCAGCCTGATGTCTACTGATTCCAAGCCTGAACCGACGCGCTACCAGGAACCATCCAAACACTATAGGGAGATGACAAATCTTCCAGGAATGAGAAGCAGAAATGTTCCAACTGTCTGTCTTTACACGCTAGTATCATGTGACAAATTTGGGGCTAAATTATTGATTTTGATGGGAAAGAAGAACCACTTATACGTGTGTAAGTTGATGGAGACAATCCTATAGACTTCTTCCTACACAAGCCTTCTCTTACCTAGCCCTGTTTATATAGAATTCTTCCTACACCAGCCTTCTATTACCTAGCCCTGTTTATATAGACTTCTTCCTACACAAGCCTTCTCTTACCTAGCCCTGTTTATATAGACTTCTTCCTACACCAGCCTTCTCTTACCTAGCCCTGTTTATATAGACTTCTTCCTACACCAGCCTTCTCTTACCTAGCCCTGTTTATACAAATTTCTTCCTACTCCAGCCTTCTCTTACCTAGCCCTGTTTATATAGAATTCTTCCTACACCAGCCTTCTCTTACCTAGCCCTGTTTATATAGACTTCTTCCTACACCAGCCTTCTCTTACCTAGCCCTGTTTATATAGACTTCTTCCTACACCAGCCCTCTCTTACCTAGCCCTGTTTATACAAATTTCTTCCTACACCAGCCTTCTCTTAACTAGCCCTGTTTATACAGATTTCTTCCTACACCAGCCTTCTCTTACCTAGCCCTGTTTATACAGATTTCTTCCTACTCCAGCCTTCTCTTACCTAGCCCTGTTTACACAGATTTCTTCCTACACCAGCCTTCTCTTACCTAGCCCTGTTTATATAGACTTCTTCCTATACCAGCCTTCTCTTACCTAGCCCTGTTTATATAGACTTTTTCCTACACCAGCCTTCTCTTACCTAACCTTGTTTAAGGAACATTTCCAACACAAATTGTTGACTTGAAACCTAGAGATATAGCCACAAGGGCATGAGTGACGTGCATCTTGGTTGCAGAAGAGAGAGTGCTGCTCTAACAGATTGCTACCAATAATGAATAAACAAAATAATGATATCAAACTAGGCAACCAGCAATCCACCTAAGATGAGATAATGGTCTACAGCAAATTTGAGGAATACAAAAATTACAAGTATGGACTCATCCTAAATTTAGTTTCTTGTATGTTTAATGTTCTATTAATAGCCGGGTCATTTAAGGATGTGCCAGGTTTGGTTGAAAGAGGAAAGGCATAGTCCACCCAAACAGAAACCACTGACCTGCGGCTAGTACCTGGCAACTGCACTAGGTAGGTCTCGAACCTGTGACCCAGTGGTGGAGTGCAAGAGATAAAGACGATTAGATGCTTTAACCACTCAGCCACTGCCGTCCCTCCTTATAACTCTAGTATGTTTGCTCCTAAACCTACTAGAATTATACACAGGCAATTCCATACAACTTGGTCACAGCAAAATGAATCCATATTTATATTTGTGCTGTCACTTACTATATGAAGATTATCATAAGAAAAAGATTTTCATAAGGATTGGATAACTATAGTCAAGTTCAAAGTCACAATTCCTTCAGCAGGGTCCACCTACCTTGCGATGTCAAGGTCAATGTCACTATCAAGACTTTAGGATGGAAATCCTTAAGCAGGGACCAGGTACCTCACAATGGCAAGGTCACCATCAAGTCTTTAGGATGGAGTTCCTAAAGCATGGTCAAGGTACTTCGCAATGTCAAGGCCACAATGGCAAGGTCACCATCAAGTCTTCAGGATTGAGTTCCTAAAGCATGGTCAAGGTACTTTGCAATGTCAAGGCCACAATGGCAAGGTCACCATCAAGTCTTCAGGATTGAGTTCCTAAAGCATGGTCAAGGTACTTTGCAATGTCAAGGCCACAATGGCAAGGTCACCATCAAGACTTTAGGATGGAGTTCCTAAAGCAGGGACCAGATACCTTGCGATTTCAAGGTCACTATCAAGACTTTAGGATAGAGCTCCTAAAACAGGGTCCAGGTAGATATGGAGCTCCTACATAGTTGCAAGCCAAAAAATAAAAAGCACTGAGTATACCAAAGGCAGTGTTTTTCCAATCAACATTTCAGATGTGTTAGGTACATGGTCCTCATTGTATGAACACATGGTGCTTTCTATAAAACTTAGTTCCAACTGGATTTGGATTCCTATCTCAGATGACAAAAGCCAAGTCAGTAATGAACAGGCCTGATTTAGAGCTTCCTTACACAGGAAATTAAAATTTCCAGCATACCTCGTTCTTCTAATTCACTCGGCAGGTCGGCATGTTGGGCACACATCCGCAACAGAATCAAATTTGAGGTAAAACATGGAAACAATTAGTGTCGGGGCATGCTTCACAATAATAAATACATAACGCAATATGTGAGTAGGCTGTATTTCATTTTGTGTGTCTTGAATGAATGTCTGGTCACAGATCCCGACAGAGACATGACACCCTGACAGAAGACGACTAACTATATTGTACAAAAGCTTTATTAAGTTCCTTTTTAATGAAAATATCTGAAGCAGCCAAAATGAACACGTATAATCAGATTGCTGCCATCAACAGACGTATTAAACAGACTAGGAGCTTTATAAAACTCAGACTAGATAAAGTTGAAATTTTTAGGTTTTATATAAAAAAAAAAAAAAAAAAGTAAAAAAAGAACAAAAAGCATATATTGTACATGTTTGTAGAAACTAATGATTCTGATACCTAACTAATGCAAGGTATTAATTTTTCTCAAAGTGAAGGGGAGACAACTACAACAAATTGTAAACATTGCCACACGGTTAATATTGAACCAAGAACCACAAAGTGAAATTCACACTCTCTACTCCTGCTTACCTGTATAAGTTACAGGGTAGTTCTACTCTCTTAACTCTGCTTACTAGACCTGTATAAGTTACAGGGTAGTTCTACTCTCTTAACTCTGCTTACTAGACCTGTACAAGTTACAGTGTAATTCTACTCTCTTAACTCCTGCTTACTAGACCTGTATAAGTTACAGTGTAATTCTACTCTCTTAACTCTGCTTACTAGACCTGTACAAGTTACAGGGTAGTTCTACTCTCTTAACTCTGCTTACTAGACCTGTACAAGTTACAGTGTAATTCTACTCTCTTAACTCCTGCTTACTAGACCTGTACAAGTTACAGGGTAGTTCTACTCTCTTAACCCCTGCTTACTAGACCTGTACAAGTTACAGTGTAATTCTACTCTCTTAACTCCTGCTTACTAGACCTGTACAAGTTACAGTGTAATTCTACTCTCTTAACTCCTGCTTACTAGACCTGTACAAGTTACAGTGTAATTCTACTCTCTTAACTCCTGCTTACTAGACCTGTACAAGTTACAGTGTAATTCTACTCTCTTAACTCCTGCTTACTAGACCTGTACAAGTTACAGTGTAATTCTACTCTCTTAACTCCTGCTTACTAGACCTGTATAAGTTACAGTGTAATTCTACTCTCTTAACTCCTGCTTACTAGACCTGTACAAGTTACAAGGTAGTTCTACTCTCTTAACTCCTGGTAAGTAGACACATACATGTACTACAACTCTTTGATCATTTCCAGCATGGTCAAATGTGATGGTAACCTTTTTAATTTTCCCATAGCGTCAATAATAACTCAATCTGCTGAGGAGTCCAGGAGATATCTTGTTCATAAACTATGTGCTATGACTGCATACACAGATGTACAGACAATTTCAGTAATTACCTCCCTTTTTAGGTTGAACATATACCCCCCCCCCCAGTTACTAGATTTACTATAAACCATGCCCCACCTCCCATCCCCCTTTACTTACTAGGTGTGTACATGGATAAATGTAAAAAGAATTTTCATGAAGACCAGAAACCAATATATTACAAGGGAGGTAACTTGTTACACATTTAAAGACATGTATGTAGCTTTACTCTTTAAAGGGAGATAACTATATATTTACCTGTTAGACCATTGGCTATGCCACCACAATAGACAGTACAGTTTGTAGCACTTGACTGGTTGTAAACTTCATCATAAGACATTTGTTTTACAGCTAAAAACAGAAAATAACCAGTATGTTAATTATTATTATTAATAAAACAATTTGCCTGAAGACCACTAGGGCAACATTGTGTGCAGAGATATACAATTACTTATATGGTTTCAAGATAATGCATATTAATTTTTGCTGAAGTTGAACCATTACTTTAAGAGTAGTAACCAGAACAATATTTCCCCAGTCTGTTTATATGTAAAAAAAGAAATTAAAATGATGAACAAAATAATGGGGTTGAAAATTAGATGAATGATTATGATGACCTACTTTCTTTTGGTACAGGTGCAGGGGGTTTTCTGGTGGCCCAGTTGGTTCGTATAGCTCTGGATCCTAACCACTGCCCATTCATTCCATTGATCGCTGATTCTGCATCCTACAAGAAAAAGACAATAAATGTATTTATGATTGTTGTATCCTGACGGAAGCTTAAGAAAATAGCAAAAATAATTTGATTCACTTATATCTGATGCTGTTTTCTAATCACCGATATATAAAAATTATGAACTTTATTGAATTCCTTTAGCATTTTTGACAAATCCTTGAAGGACTCTATATTTGTACAAAAAAATGATTGCTTGTTTTGTCTTTTGTACAATCTTTAATTGTCAAATGAGAGATTATACTGTTTGTTCAAACAGTCCCAAAATGGATTAAATGTTGATAGCTCAGAGGGTTAGCGTGTTGGCTAACGTCACCTCAGGTAAAAATGTAATGCGTGTGAGTGGACATTCTCTAACCGAGGTAGTATGTTTTCTGAAAGCTGAGAAGCTGACCAGTCCGGGCTGAACACTTTACCCTAATACCCCAAGACGGCATGTGATGGGTATCCCTAATTGTGTTCAGCAAGGTACATACCACTTACTACCAAGAGACCCCACACCAATAATGACCCTGGCTGTTCATGGGGTGATAAATTCAGGAAACAAAGACACCCAAATGGACAATATACAACACAGAACCAAACTTGACAATATACAACACAGAACCAAACTGGACAATATACAACACAGAACCAAACTGGACAATATACAACACAGAACCAAACTGGACAATATACAACACAGAACCAAACTGGACAATATACAACACAGAACCAAACTGGACAATATACAACACAGAACCAAACTGGACAATATACAACACAGAACCAAACTGGACAATATACAACACAGAACCAAAAGGACCCTTCATATGGTATTAGAGAACAATCCAGTTCTTCTCCAGAAACAGCAATAACAAGAATTGTTGAAGAACAGATGACGGATGAAGCGCTATCTGAATAGTCCATCTGATGATGGAGGGCTAAACAGCTAACACTGAAGGCATGGCTGATGGACATTGCACTGTAGAAGCCCACTTAGACATTCAGGGCAGGTGAGCCAATTTCTAATTGCAATCCTTGTATCTTCATAATAACTTTATTTGTAGTACAATAAGCCTTGATTGTCGTCAAATTAAGAGGAATCTATACTATTACCTCGTTAATTATTGATTCATCTAGACACAAGGGTGTTTAGATTATTATCACAGTAAGTTTGGTAGTATATACCGTTTTCATCAACAAGTCAGCTGGCTTTACATACTTCTTCATTTAGTTTGAATTATTAAGTTATCCAGGAGGGAATCATGCTGACAGAAGTTTGATGATGAACGATTTTCATTAAGGGTGTATCCTGCCAGCCTGGATTATAATTAATAACCATACACGACAAGTACAGGTTCCCTTAGTTTTCATTAATAATTTAAACAAAAGTTATTATGATCTAACACGAATCCATTCATTCTGTTTCTACCATGTCAGCTTCTTTCTTGTTAATCACTTCTGATTAAAGCAATATCAACAAGACCCTTAAGCAAACATCATCTTAAAAATAACGTAGCCAGCTCAAGTTTGAAAACAGAGATTTATAAACATGAAGACAGACCACACCAGATTGACCAGTCAGTATAAGACATGGTAGTGACTATTAGCGAACAGTCAGTCTGTTCTCATCTGTGGCAGATGAACACTGACCACCATTTACACACATCTCCTGTGTCAGTGATAGACCACTTCCCTTCTCCTCCACCATAGATGTTGCCTGTATTTAAATGTCAATGCTAAATGGGTACATCCGAGATGTCAAGAATTATTTTGCACTGAGTACAGGTCCCACAGGGCTGGATTAAACCTGCAGGATCCAGCCTCCAATGAGCTCCATCAATACAATGTTTAGGGATGGTAAACAACTCGGCTCAGAGCCTTTAATCAGCTTCCCTATGATCTAGTTATAACTTTGTGTTTGAGTTCTATTGACCGACACAAATTACATATTACTACTAAAATTAATGTTAATGAGAATTATGGAGGCCATGACAACAGTGATTTGTAATAGACTAATACTGCTTTAATTAGGACAGGGATGGGAATAGACTTGATTACCTACCTTGCGAATCAAAACCAATGAAAATGTCCATTAAATGTTCCCTCAGTGATCTAGATTACATTCACCATTGAAGCAAGTGTAAAACAGTTAACAAGGTCAAACTTGATGTCAGAATTGTTACAAATTATGTTTATCCCTACGACACATCAATCTACCATCAGGAATAAGGAACTGAGCTGATATTCAATTGTCTTTTCCTCAATAAGCCGTAGGGTCTTCCTACTCCAAGCCAGGGGCAGACTTATTACAGGACTTCAGACTCCAAGTCTGGTGTAGACTTATTACAGGACTTCAGACTCCAAGTCTGGTGTAGACTTATTACAGGACTTCAGACTCCAAGTCTGGTGTAGACTTATTACAGGACTTCAGACTCCAAGTCTGGTGTAGACTTATTACAGGACTTCAGACTCCAAGTCTGGTGTAGGCTTATTACTGGGTCTTCACTCAAAGTCTGGGGTAGGCTTATTACAGGGTCTTCTGACTTAAAGTCTGGAGTAGGCTTATTACTGGGTCTTCACTCAAAGTCTGGGGTAGGCTTATTACAGGGTCTTCTGACTTAAAGTCTGGAGTAGGCTTATTACAGGGTCTTCACTCAAAGTCTGGTGTAGACTTATTACAGGACTTCAGACTCCAAGTCTGGTGTAGGCTTATTACTGGGTCTTCACTCAAAGTCTGGGGTAGGCTTATTACAGGGTCTTCTGACTTAAAGTCTGGAGTAGGCTTATTACTGGGTCTTCACTCAAAGTCTGGGGTAGGCTTATTACAGGGTCTTCTGACTTAAAGTCTGGAGTAGGCTTATTACAGGGTCTTCACTCAAAGTCTGGTGTAGACTTATTACAGGGTCTTCAGACTCCAAGTCTGGTGTAGACTTATTACAGGACTTCAGACTCCAAGTCTGGAGTAGGCTTATTACAGGGTCTTCAGACTCCAAGTCTGGTGTAGACTTATTACAGGACTTCAGACTCCAAGTCTGGTGTAGACTTATTACAGGACTTCAGACTCCAAGTCTGGTGTAGGCTTATTACTGGGTCTTCACTCAAAGTCTGGGGTAGGCTTATTACAGGGTCTTCTGACTTAAAGTCTGGAGTAGGCTTATTACTGGGTCTTCACTCAAAGTCTGGGGTAGGCTTATTACAGGGTCTTCTGACTTAAAGTCTGGAGTAGGCTTATTACAGGGTCTTCACTCAAAGTCTGGGGTGCGCTTATTACAAGGTCTTCTGACTTAAAGTCTTGGGTAGGCTTATTACAGGACTTTTAACTCAAAGTCTGGGGTAGGTAGGCTTATTACAGGGTCTTCAGACTCAAAGTCTGGAGTAGGTAGGCTTATTACAGGACCTTAGATTCAAAGTCTGGGATAGGCTTATTACAGGGTCTTCAGACTCAAAGTCTGGAGTAGGTAGGCTTATTACAGGACCTTAGATTCAAAGTCTGGGATAGGCTTATTACAGGGTCTTCAGACTCAAAGTCTGGAGTAGGCTTATTACAGGGTCTTCACTCAAAGTCTGGAGTAGGCTTATTACAGGGTCTTCAGACTCAAAGTCTGGAGTAGGTAGGCTTATTACAGGACCTTAGATTCAAAGTCTGGGATAGGCTTATTACAGGGTCTTCACTCAAAGTCTGGAGTAGGCTTATTACAGGGTCTTCAGACTCAAAGTCTGGAGTAGGTAGGCTTATTACAGGACCTTAGATTCAAAGTCTGGGATAGGCTTATTACAGGGTCTTCAGACTCAAAGTCTGGAGTAGGCTTATTACAGGGTCTTCAGACTCAAAGTCTGGAGTAGGTAGGCTTATTACAGGACCTTAGATTCAAAGTCTGGGATAGGCTTATTACAGGGTCTTCACTCAAAGTCTGGAGTAGGCTTATTACAGGGTCTTCACTCAAAGTCTGGGGTGCGCTTATTACTGGGTCTTCACTCAAAGTCTGGGATAGGCTTATTACAGGGTCTTCAGACTCAAAGTCTGGAGTAGGCTTATTACTGGGTCTTCACTCAAAGTCTGGTGTAGACTTATTACAAGGTCTTCTGACTTAAAGTCTTGGGTAGGCTTATTACAGGACTTTTAACTCAAAGTCTGGGGTAGGTAGGCTTATTACAGGACCTTAGATTCAAAGTCTGGGATAGGTAGGCTTATTACAGGACCTTAGATTCAAAGTCTGGGGTAGGTAGGCTTATTACAGGACCTTAGACTCAAAGTCTGGGGTAGGTAGGCTTATTACAGGACCTTAGATTCAAAGTCTGGGATAGGCTTATTACAGGGTCTTCAGACTCAAAGTCTGGAGTAGGCTTATTACAGGGTCTTCAGACTCAAAGTCTGGAGTAGGTAGGCTTATTACAGGACCTTAGATTCAAAGTCTGGGGTAGGTAGGCTTATTACAGGACCTTAGACTCAAAGTCTGGGGTAGGTAGGCTTATTACAGGACCTTAGATTCAAAGTCTGGGATAGGCTTATTACAGGGTCTTCAGACTCAAAGTCTGGAGTAGGCTTATTACAGGGTCTTCAGACTCAAAGTCTGGAGTAGGTAGGCTTATTACAGGACCTTAGATTCAAAGTCTGGGATAGGCTTATTACAGGGTCTTCAGACTCAAAGTCATGGGTGGGCTTATTACAGGGTCTTCACTCAAAGTCTGGGGTGCGCTTATTACAAGGTCTTCTGACTTAAAGTCATGGGTGGGCTTATTACAGGGTCTTCTGCTGAACATACAGAACATTACTTTATACTGAATAGTATATAGACTATCTAAATCAAATGTGATTGTTTAAAACAGACGCTTGAAGTGTCCACATCTGTGATGAGAAATTGGGCTTGTTATTTGAAATACTACTTATACAACAAGTCAGTGAGATTTAAAATGAACTGTTTCCAACTGATGTTTAATACGTTTATCATGGCATATATTAATTATTGTTTAAGCTTCATTTGAAACGCCTTTATAAACAAGACGGAATTCAAACCCAAGTGAAATCACCAATGCCAGATAGAATAAAATGATCAGAAACAGCAGTTATACCATACACAGGCTCCCTCTATAGATTTGTGCTTGTCAAATATTATGAATATCCACAATATTCCAACGAAATTCCTGTCATCATTGATGAAGTATTGATGTCATCCAAACGTTAAGGATTTTTAACATATGATGAATCATTAGATCAAATAGTGTTATATTCATCCCAACTTGAACAGCGACAGTACTTACTGTTTTTTTAACGAAGGAGACAAAACCATATCCTTTGGATTTCAGTGTCTGTGGGTCTCGTATGATCTTGCAGTCTCTGGAACAGAAGAAATTTTGCAAAAATTAGAAATAAATCACAGAAAGGAATTCCCTACGAACACTTTTTTCAAAAGTAAAATTGAATAAACCTAAATCTACACATTACTGTATCACCATATTGGTGACAATATTTGGGGACGACAATGTTATCTACTTCATGTTATTGGAAATTTGGGGACAATGTTGTCTATAAAATGTTACAGAGAATTTGGGGACAATGTTGTCTATATAATGTTACAGAGAATTTGGGGACAATGTTGTCTATATAATGTTACAGAGAATTTGGGGACAATGTTGTCTATATAATGTTACAGAGAATTTGGGGACAATGTTGTCTATATAATGTTACAGAGAATTTGGGGACAATGTTGTCTATATAATGTTACAGAGAATTTGGGGACAATGTTGTCTATATAATGTTACAGAGAATTTGGGGACAATGTTGTCTATATAATGTTACAGAGAATTTGGGGACAATGTTGTCTATATAATGTTACAGAGAATTTGGGGACAATGTTGTCTATATAATGTTACAGAGAATTTGGGGACAATGTTGTCTATATAATGTTACAGAGAATTTGGGGACAATGTTGTCTATATAATGTTACAGAGAATTTGGGGACAATGTTGTCTATATAATGTTACAGAGAATTTGGGGACAATGTTGTGTTGTCCATTTCATGTTACCCACCCAAATCACTCTTCCCTTGCAATGGGTCTATATTCAAAACTTTAAAGTGAAGTGTTTACATCGTTACTCAAAAACTAACACCAAAGTGTTGGGTCTTTATCTTGCAGTCAAGATTAAAATCATAAACATGATAAGATTTATGAAAGATATCAATGAAATAATAGTAAATAGCAAACAAACAAACCAGATTTAAGTGAATCTTTAGCTACAAAACCTCAAACAACTATGGTGATAACAAAGAGAAGGAATCCTTGTGTTCACCATTACAGGGTCAATAATGGTTCTGTTTGGGTTGGATCATTTTTATCTCCTCTTTCCATTCTTTGCTTGTACAGTGCAATTAGCATATCATATCAACAGGTGAATGATTCATGTAAAGGTCATTTAAACAAAGAGAATTTCTATGTGAAACATTCTCTGAGATATATCCTTGACAACTTTTGGCTAATTTCAAATAATCTTTTTAACAGAACAAACAAAACTAGGGACCAAGGGAAACCTTCCCATGACGTTTTACTTATCTAGTAACTTTAAGTAATTTTAACTTATAAAGTACAAGTATCAAGATGGTAAAATAAGGAACAAGAGAATAACCTCTCTAGTCATTAACTTCCAAATTTCTCTTGGCAAAACTAAGAAACTAGGCAAGGGAAATTTACAAATCTTTTTCATCTTGTACTCTTTAAGATACATAACTACCTAAAGGTAATTTTAGCAGACTATTGATGAGGGCCAGGTAAAATGTAATTCTGACATTTCTACTTTTGAAGAGGCTGGTTAAAATGTAATTTTAGCAATCAGTCTTCTGATCAGGGCCAGTTAAAATTACATTTTAACCTTCAGACTTTTAATGAGGGCAAGTTAAAATGTAATTTTAAAAATCAACCTTCTGATGAGGGTAAGTTAAAATATGATTTTAACCTTTAAACTTTTGATGAGGGCCAGTTAAAATGGAAATTTAACAATAAGAACTCTGGAAAGGGGCCGGATAAAATGTAATATTTACCAGTTTAACTTTGAATGGGGGTGAGATAAAATGAAAGTTGCACTTCTTCAAAGAACAAAGACAACTTATTATCCAACACATAGCATTTTCAATTTACAAACTAAAAACTAGATCTTACACACTCAAAAACAGTGAAAGGTCTCGTCTTCTCGGTGTATTTGACAGCTGTCAATTCAATGACAATTTTTGTAATGGATTTGACGGTTTAACAGATTATCTTCCTATATGGGCTCTTATGGGAACACTGGAATGTCAAAAGGTTGAATTGTATCCAACTAAAATTTAATTAATGAGAGAAAGAAAAGAATTAACTTTTGAATGAAAGAATTGCTGTTATGTGGAACAAATCATAAAAGAAAAAAATTGTCCAATCATCATGACAAGAGATCAATACCCTTTAATGAACACGCTGATATCGTAATGTTGTGGATAGGTTAATAAACTGAACACAAAAAACATTGACAAGCATAAAGGATGTGGGCTACCCATATCGTGGTAATCGGTGCTAAGTCAAAGGTGTGTATTTCAGATACAACATAATAACTGGGAAATGGAATTTATCATGATGTTTGCACTGTCTTGACCTTTTGTTGTATAATATACAGTATTCTATAGCTAGTTTCGGGTACATTTAAAAACTGACATAATTTTAGCATTAAGATTATTTGCTGTTACATAAGCAGCTACTAGAGAATATAGATCACGGCTTTCGTTATTGACCTTTCAACTCTCATACTCTTCCAGGAGTATACGGTTAGTTGGGTGGCACAGTGGTACGTACCCCATGTCCACCAACATGTCCAGGGTTTGATTCCCAAAACAAACAAGAAAAGGTATGCGTCACCTGCGCAATCACATGGGTTTTCCCTGGGTACACCTGTTTCCTCCCATGGTTATAATCCCTTACATCCGGGCCAACAAGTATGATTGAAATAAGTTGGATTAAGTTTATATTCATAACTCTTAGTAAACCAATATCTACTATCTCATCCCCAGTAAAGGCATAAAAATAGTATCCCTTCATTAATACATTACCATGATAATGGTATGTAACACAGGAGAGGCCATTTTCAATAAAGCTGTTGTCAGTGCGGACATTAAATTGAGCCCCACGACAGGTTACTGTAAACCATTATTGTAGCCTGTCTGTCCAATGATGGCGGGGATATTAATATAGCATCACTAGGTCAAAATGTCAAAAAAATAATCATTATATATTACTGGGTCCTTTGACCAATAGGATTACCCCCTGCAGCTACAATGAGAAAACAATCTGTGACAGTTTAAAGAATCTGTAATATTTACCCACATCTACGTCAGACACCCATGGTGTTGCTGAGTAAATATGAATACATCTTGGTGTTGCTATGCCACCTGACTGTGTTGCTGAGTGTAAATATGAGTAAATATAATAGCTGTAAAAATGGTTCTGATGATCTTGGTGTTGCTATGCAAATATGTGAGTCAACCTGACTGTAAACCATGGTGCTGATGAGTAAATATGTGGAGTCAGCTGTTTACCATGTTGCATATGAGTAAATATGTGGAGTCAGCTGTAAACCATGGTTCTTATGAGTCAATATGAAAAGTCAGCTGTAAACCATGGTGCTGATGAGTAAATATGTGGAGTCAGCTGTATACCATGGTGCATATGAGTAAATATGTGGAGTCAGCTGTATACCATGGTGCTGATGAGTAAATATGTGGAGTCAGCTGTAAACCATGGTACTGATAAGTAATTATGTGGTGTCGGCTGTAAACCATGGTGTTGCTGGTTCAACAAATTAAGCATGAGACAGCTGCGAGGACAAGGGACAAGTAGACTATAAATAAACCAATATTAGTTTAACAGGGACTCAAGAAACCCATACATAATCTTAGCCTATGAAGACAGTGATAAGCCCCCACATTCTCAACAGACATTTCCCAGCTCCCTGGATTTCAAAGTCACAAGAGACAATAACAGCTTTATAGCCCGTTTCTGACTTCTTCAGACAAAGGCTACTGTTGCTATAGACAACTGGACATACCACATGGGAATACAGGTGGTATCAAACACACAACAACTGTAGTCACATTAACAGTAGCAGTGGATTAAGACAAAATGCTGTGTCAGACTTGAAACACCAGTTAAAATCAAAACAGTTCAGCAGCGGGACAGATTGGCCAACAACCTCAGTTACTACAATAGAATTCCAGACACATCCAATTATTATTGATTAAATATCTGTCACGCATACATTGAAATTATCATAGACAAATGCTACTTGTGCCATATGACCGCTTTCATTTTCTTTCTATTGAAATATGTTTTTTCCAGCTATAACTACTGATACCAAGCTTACAGCCTAGATTCAGGAGCTGTTGTTTATTGTGTCCCCACAGACTATTACTTCTTGTACAGTCAGCCTCAGCTCTGATAGACACAACCGATCAAGGCCTGAGCACCACCAAACAAATGGCAACATTTGTTACCAGGTGTACCTCGTAAACAATCAAACCCACAATGTATCTCTCTAATTTGCATGTAAAATTTAGCCTGGAGATTCAAGTCAGGCGCTCTATCTTTAAACTACTTTTTTTACAAACTCGAATGGTTAAGACTAAATGAATCCTATTGAAGTCCCTGAGTTAGCTTGAACTTCCAAAATTAAATGTATGAGTGTTGCTACAAATTCACTGTCCATGTATCTGTGTTGGAGAGTCTGCTCCTCAACAGTCATTACCTTCTATCCATTAACCTGGAGGTCCACTGACAGGGCAGGATTTTCTCAGTAGATGTCCACTGAGAGGGCCAGAATTACCTCAGTATATGTCCACTGAGAGGGCCAGGATTTTCTCAGTAGATGTCCACTGAGAGGGCCAGGATTACCTCAGTAGATGTCCATTGACAGGCCAGGATTTTCTCAGTAGACGTCCATTGAAAGGGCCAGAATTACCTCTGTATATGTCCACTGAGAGGGCCAGGATTACTTCAGTATATGTCCATTGAGAGGGCCAGGATTGCCTCAGTAGACATCCATTGAAAGGGCCAGAATTACTTCAGTATATGTCCATTGAGAGGGCCAGGATTACCTCAGTAGATGTCCACTGAGAGGGCCAGGATTACCTCAGTATATATGTTCACTGAAAGGGCCAGGATTACTTCAGTATATGTCCATTGAGAGGGCCAGGATTGTCTCAATAGACATCCATTGAGAGGGCCAGGATTGCCTCAATAGATGTCCATTGAGAGGGCCAGGATTACCTCAGTAGATGTCCACTGAGAGGGCCAGGATTGCCTCAGTATATGTACACTGAG